AAACTGAGAAGGGTTTATCATCCCTTCTCCCTCCTATGATAGGTAGGAAGAGAGGAATATTTGGATTCCTTTTTTTTTTTTTAATCCTTACCTGAGGACATTTTTCGATATTTTGTTCAGATAGAGTGGGAAGGAGAGAGAGAGAAACATCGGTGTGAAAGGGACACATCGAGTGGTCGCCACCCACATGACCCAATCAGGGCCGGGGACAAACTGTAACTGAGGTACGTGCCCTTAGCAGGAACCGAACCCGGGTTTCTCTGGACCACAGGCGGACGCTCTAACTGCTGAGCCAAACTGGCCAGGGTAGGATTCTTAATAGTAAAAGGAAGTTAACGCTCATTTTTCTTGCCTTTACTTTGCTGACTAATGTTAGGGATTAGAATTGGGGATTGGAAAAGGAGGAAGCCCAAGAAATACCACTATAGACTTTGTCATCAACCAGTCATTGCAAAGAGAATCGTAACTAGCAGTGAGTAGGGAGTCCCACAATGGTAGTGTCTGTAGCTAGAATGGAAAGAGAAACAGTAAAAAAAAGGAAATAAAGAAAGAAAAATACCCCTCAGTTGTCAGAAGGAAAAGGGAACTCACTTCATATACTATATAGGTCATACAACAAATGGTTTTAGTGAATGATTTTTTTATTTTTGTTAATCCTTGCCTGAGGACATTGATTTTTAGATAGAGTGGGGAAGGAGGGAGAGAGGGAAAGAGAGAGAGAAATATCGATGTGAGAGAGACACATCGATTGGTTGCCTCCACACAACCTCAACTGGAGCCAGGGATGGAACCTGCAACCAAGTACATGCCCTTGACCAGGAATCAAACCCACAACCCTTGGGTCTGTGGGTAACTGCTAAGCCAAACCAGCCAGGGCTAGTTAATCATTTTCAAAAGGCAAAATTTATATACTAGGCCCTTGAACAAAGTGGGAATTAGGGGTACCACCCACCCCTCGATTGAAGTAAAAAGTAACATATTCGGTCCATGGTTGGTTTAATTCACAAATGCAAAACACAGGGACACAGAGGGCTGACTGTATATTTATTGAAAAAACTTGGCGTATAAGTGGACCCACACATTTCAAACCCCTCTTCAAGTGTCAACTGTATTTATACATCCATATAACTCTTAAGTGTTTTCCATTATTGTGAAGGAAGGGGACAGATGGTTTTTCAAGGTATTTTTGAGAAGTTCGTGGCTCTTAGAATTTATATTCACTAGTTATAATTTATATTCCATGCCTACTCCTTCAGTTTTCCATAAAATTCTCTTCTTACTCATTCTTCATATTTATTGAAGCTACCAAAAATCTGTTATCTTGACCTCGTTACTTGGTTTTACATTTTTAACTTCTCTGTTTTTCATATAACTCTTGTTATCCAAATTGTATTCTCCTTTGAACTCATACTGTATAAAAATATTGGGATTACAGAAGTTGTTTCTCTAATCCCTTATGTGGACTATCTTTTATTTCAAGAAATTGAGAAAGAGTCCATGGATATTATGTCTCTGACCAAAACAACCTTTTGGCACATATACATAAATTACACATATTACCAAAAAAAAATTATGTACTAATTCTAAAATATACTTTTTTTTATAAAGCATGTACAAGGGAAGAAGTAAATTTTACTTGAGGAAAATACAATTTTCCTACTCTTTATCAAATGTACACTGGAGTCTGACCTAGATTTGAATCTTAACTCCCTACTACTTCTACTCTGATACCTGGAATAAATGTATGTTTCTATGTGTCTGTTTCTTCATTTTTAAAATGAGACTAATAATTTCTAGCTTATAGTATTACTTAGAGAATTAAAATGAGATAATCCAAGTTAGTTTTTAAACACTGTTCTCTCGTACCCTTGAGCTCTAATAGAGACATTTAATGGGTCACTTGTATCTATTTTATGTTTAGGGTTCTGCAGAAGATTTGGTTTGAGAAAGAGGGTCCTGAGGTTCACTGTTTAAAAACATTTGAATGTCATAGCTGTAAGTAAAGTGCCTTGTACAAAATAGATGCTAAAAGATACTAGTTCTCTTATGCAGGTTAGAAAATTTCCACTTAGTCGATTCCCTTCTTCATGGGACTTCCTCCCAATCAGTGTATTGAAATGCTAAGTTACTTTTGTTTAACTGCTTTATTGAGGTATAATTCACATACCATATAATTCACCTATTTTAAATGTACAATTCAGTGGGTTTTTTTTTGTTCGTTTTTTGTTTTTTTTATCCTCACCTGAGGACATTTTTCCATTTTTTTGTTCAGATAGAGTGGGAGGGGGAGAGAGAGAGAGAGAGAGAAACATCGATGTAAAAGAAGCACATTGAGTGGCCGCCATCTGCTCGACCAACCAGGGCCAGGGACAAACTGCAACCGAGGTACATGCCCCCGGCGGGAACCAAATCCGGGTCTCTCTGGACCGCAGGCCGACGCTCTAACTGCTGAGCCAAACCTGCCAGGGCCAATTCAGTGTTTTTTAATATATTCACAGTGTTGTGCAACCACACCCATAATGTAATTTTAGAACATTTAAACTAAGTTGCTTTTGGATTTTGTTTTCATTGCTTATTAGAAGTTAAAGTGTAAGTTAATGTGTCATGAAGAACAAAATGAAGCTAATGTTTCTTCACTGATTTGTATAGGTACATACATTAGATTCTATTATGTCATTTAGCATACTTAATTTTATATAGCAATAACTAGGACTTAATTGTTTACATTCTTTACTTCTAGAAGTTTATTAATCTACTTCCATGACTTTTAACGATGACTACTTATCAGGCCCTGGCCAGGTAGCTCATTTGGTTAGTGCATGGTCCCAATATGCCGAGGTTGCAAGTTTGATCCCAGCTCAGGGCACATAACAGGAGTCAGTCAATGAATCCATAAACAAGAGGAACAACAAATAAATGTTTTTCTCTCTCTCCTTTCTCTCTCCCCCTTCTTCGCTCGCTCTCTCAAATCAATACGTTTAAAAAATCTTTTTTTAAAAAAAGTTTATCTGTATATGTCCTGAGCTTAGCTTAGAAATTCAACAATTGTAAAAAATAAAAATAAAAAAAACACACATAAAAAAAGAAATTCAACAATTGTTTTGTCAAGTACTTGTTATGAGCCATATGCTTCATTAGACTATTAGGGTTAAATGATCAGGCACACTCAAGGGAGTTTATTCTTTTAGAAGAGTAGCATGTAAACAAAGGAGAGTAATATAGCGTGATCATTGTTATTACGGAGAGTTATGTAAAGTACTATGGGTGCACATTTGAAGAAGTAATAAATTTCATCTGAGAAAGAGATGGGTAAAGGGGCAAGAAGGGGAAAGAACAGAGATGGAAGAAAGAGTTGCAAAGAATCTGGTCCTTGAAGTATGAATCCAATTCACCAGGCAGGAGATGGAAGAATGTGTTCTTTAAAAACTCAGAGAATAATCTAAGCCTACGCCTAGATACATAAAGTTTAATGAAAAGACAGTGAATTAGCCCTGGCCAGTTTGGCTCAGCAGTTAGAGCGTCGGCCTGCAGTCCAGAGAGACCCGGGTTTGGTTCCCACTAAGGGCACATGCCTCGGTTGCAGTTTGTCCCCAGTCCTGGTTGGGTTGTGCGGGAGGCAGCCACTCGATGTGTCCCTTTCATGTCGATGTTTCTCTCTCTCTGTCTTCCTCTCTCTCCCTCCCACTCTATCTGAACGAAAAAATGGAAAAATGTCCTTGGGTGAGGATTAAAAAAAAAAAAAGACTGAATTATTTGATGTGAGTGACTACAGGGAATTTATCCTAGTGTATAGTGGTTAAACAGAAAAGGTTGGCTGGAGCAGATTAGGAGGGTCTGCAAGTCAGTTTAACACCTTGTTTTGTTACTTCCGCCCTCTGTTTCTAGCTTCAGTCTAACATAATTCCTACTACCAGCATCCTGCTTCCTCAGGAGTTATCTTTGACTTTTTTTCACTATTTGTTTTAAATATCCATTCTCATGTTAACTATTAAATATCTGTCTCTTCCTGTCCATTTCCACATTATCATGTTAACTATTAAATATCTGTCCCTTCCGGTTCATTTCCACAGCCACTACTCTTTCCTAGGACCTTTTTTCTATTTTTTCATCCATTTTTAATATTTTTTCATTCCTAGGACTTCACCTCATCTATTTTGCTATTCAAAATAGCGTTGTGCCCTGGCCAGTTTGGCTCAGCGGTTAGAGCATCGGCCCGCGGACCAGATAGACCTGGGTTCAGTTCCCTCTAAGGGCACGTATCTCGGTTGTAGTTTGTCCCTGGCCCTGGTTGGGGACGTGTGGGTGGCAGCCAATCAATGTGTCTCTCTCACATTGATGTTTCTCTTTCTTTCTTCCTCCCTCTCTCCCTCCCACTCTATCTGAAGATAAATGCAAAAATGTCCTTGGGTGAGGATTAAAAAAAAATAGCTTTGTACAGTAGCTAATTTTAATCAACAAATTTTAAATTTGGGAAGAGGTGTGATACCAAAAAGCTAAGTTTGACTACTTTTCTATTATCTAATACTTCAAAGTATTAAGTGAGACTATTAATGAGGAAAAACAGTTTTATTTAAAAACGATTGAAAATAATTTAATTAGGGTAACTTTCTATTCAGTTAAGGAGAAAGTATGTAGATTTGTTCACTTAAAAAATAACCATAACATGACCACTGATTTGCATAGAATACAATATTTTTTGTATGCTAGTTACTGATTCATACAGTAATTGAGATTTGTGTGGTATTTTTTTTTGCTAATATAAACATGACAAACAATTAAATTTGAATTTATAAGTCAAATATGGTAAACAAAATAGCCAGTCTGTTGTTTTTTTACATAAAGTGTATGAACAGAGGTAAGAAACTTTAAAATAAATTCTGTTAGGAAGTGAACATTTACTTTTAAAATTGATCATAGAAAAAAGAAACATGTAAGCTGAGAAGCCCTTAGTGTGTTTTTATTATTTGAGGTATTCTAATCGAATATTTATTTTGAAACAGGCACGAAAACTAGATGTATATTTTGAATATGAAGAAAAAATAATGAGCAAAACTACTCTCGATAAATCGCTTCTAGATGTAATATCAGACCCTGATGGTATGTACCATAAATTTGAGGTTAATATAAGTTTCACATCTGATGAATCCAGCATTTTCAATTTTAGTGAAATCTGAATAGAATTACTCTTTTTCTAACAATATATGCTAATACTGAGATAATCAAATGAACTATTTTCCATTGAGAAGTTTGTAGCGTTGCAGTTCATAAAGTGGAAAAGTGATTTGCATTTTATTTCATTGAACTTTTCTCTGATGATATTTAAACACTTTTTATATTCATTTATTCAAAGTGCTATATCTGAAGCTTAATTTCGGCTGCTTCCAGGAAGATTTGAAGATATAACATTCAAAGCAGGTGTCTCTAAGTGATACACTTTCTAAATACTTTGGTTTAACCCTAAAAAGTTTTCTAAAAAGATGTTTCTAAAACTGAATTTTATTTTAAATATTTAGGGAATTCACTTTTAAAGAAACTCTTTAGTCAATCCCTTTCTATTTTATATTCATCTAAATAGTTGTGTATTAGATTTTCTTAAAACAATATATAACTGTTTGTATCTGGAAAATGTAATTTAACATGACTTTCAATTATAGTGATCATGATATCTACATAGGGTTTTAGCCTATAAAAATCTGTAAACTTTAGAGACTTGTTTATCATTTCAGAATAGTTTTCAGTTCAAATCTCAGCTCTTTTCCAAAATGAATAAAAAGCATATAAGTTCTATTCATCTCATATTTTGCACAAAAGCTACTCACCTGATGATGTGATTTCTGAGTTAAAAGTTTTCGTAAGAGTTTTAGACTTTATTTCAAATTGAAAAGTAATTTTTAAAATTTCAAACTGTAGTTAAGGGTTATATTCATAAAATTTCTAAGAAGCCATAAGTATTGCTCACACTTTTAAAAGGCTAGATTTGTAGTGAGAGCATAGCATTTTAAGTATTTGCACTTTACAGTGAAAAAATGCAAAATATATGTAAATCCATTACTTCAGAGTTATTTACAGTAACTTCTGAGTAAAGTTAAAGTGTGTTGATAAAAAGGCAAACAGAAGCTTTATTTTTTTCCTTTTCCCTTACTTTCTCACTTTATTTTTAAAGACGTTAAATAAGGCCAAGCAATATAGGCATTTGTGCAAAGCAAACGTCTGGTGTCACTTTCACCCAGAATGAGATGTTGAACCTGAGCAGAAAGAAAAGGGCATCTACATGTGGGGTACTGGGAGGGTTGGTCATGTGGCATAAAGTGTTGAAGTCTGAGTGAAGTGAGCAGTGTCCATGGGTGGAAACAAGCCAGTACAGGGTATAAGAGCTCTAACAGGTTGCTGCACAGGAGCACGCTTCATCAGCCCAGATCGGGTGAGAAGTATGACCAGGCCTGTGGGTGGGTCCATTGTAGGGATCAGTGCCCAAGTGGAGTGAGAGGCTTCCACGCAGGCAAGGGATGGCAGCAGAGATAACATATTTGTTACATACAGGGAACTGGTTAAATAAGTAAGTATATCAGGTAATAGAAAGGGAGCCAGGTTTCTTGTTGTCAGAGAAGGAAGTTATAAATAGGAAGGGAGAAAACTAGAATGAATCCTGGAATGTTGGATTGGAATTAGAGGTATTGGTGTAGACTCAGTGTTTTCAATATGTATTTGTCAGATAGGAAATAAATATAGATATGTGTGTGTGTGTGTGTACAGACACACACACATTTTTTTTTTTTTCTAGCTCTGCCTACTAAGCAGAGCTAGAAGCAACAATACCTCAATAGCAAAGATTTTAGCTTATAAATACCATTTTACCCTAGGACTCATTGGAGAAGTGGCTAATTCCAGGGCTGAGATGGAGAAAGAAAGTATATAATGAGCTGGAAACTGACTTTAAAGTAGAGCTCAGTTACAGTAGAAACTTATGTGTGAAAAGAGAGAGGATCCAGGCTATAGCTACAGGCTCTAGAGTACTTGCAATTGTAAAGGTTGCATTCTTACAGTTTCCATTTGGTTCCCCTGTGATTCATGTTCATTTTAAGCACTAGAATGCCATACAACTCTTATCATTACTCTTAAAAACTTTAGCAGAGGTTTGGGGGCATTTATTAACACTATAGCAACTATAAAATGTTTCTCCTTGAATGGGAACTATTCTTTCTTTAAGTTAAATGTGTGCCTACTACTAGGAGGAAAGGCAGTGCTAGATGCTGAGAATATTAAAAGCCCCTAAAATTCTGAGGGAGAGGGCCCTTTCTCTCCTGTCTTAGGAGCCATGGTCCGTAGAGCCTAGCGCAAGCCCCATTGCTCTTTCTCTCTTTTTCCTCTAGCTGCTTAGTCACAGTTGCAGGAAATTGCACAGTGGAGCAGGGTAACTAAAGCCAAAACATTTTGGCTGGAGCACCAAAAAGGAAGGGCAAAGGGAACTGGGAAGAACCAGGAAGATTGCAGAAAGAAAGGAACTCAAGAAAGCAACCCTATCAAGTTGTTTACGAATTCCTGGGCTCACCTCTGAACTGCGTATATACGAATCTGATCCTAAACAGCATTCCAAAAACTAAGAAGTAAAGGGCTAGATGAACTCAGTTCCCATATTGGCCACTGTATAGTGAGACATATCCCCATAGCACTGCAAAAGGTTTTGAAAATAGAATTGGTGATAGAACTACAATGCACAGGAAGGTGGTAGGAACTTTGGCCTGAAGCAGCAGGCTGAGTACCTGCTAAAACAAAAATAGCAGCTTTCCCTAGGATTTAAACAAGACCATTAATCTCATAACCTAATATTCAATGTCCAAGATACTATATTTATTTGTAAACATGAGAACTTTGGAGAAAGATCTTTATCACCATTCTCTGTCATATATAGGGAGTAAGGAAAATTTGAGAATGGTATATGGAGTCTAACCATATTTTTTTAATCAATGGTTCATCAGTCATATTTTGAAAAAAAATTCTCCTAGTTTTTATTCTGTAATAAAGTATAACAATTCTTATTTCTTAAGAATTAGGACACAATTTGAAGTGAGAGTACATATTGTTATTTGTTGTAGTGAAGCCGAGTTACCTATGACCTTTATCACTTTGCACCCAAGTAAACCCAGTAGCAAAGAGGAGAATAAATTAGTTTCTCTGGACCATTTTGGGCTTTGGTAATAGGAATAGTAGCCAAAGGCACCCACTGAAAACAAGAAATTAAAAAAAAATATTATGTTTTATCTTAAAATTTCAGGCAAATACATTATGTATAATACATCAGCGTTTAATATAATGTATTATTTTCCCAAGTCTGATGTAAGTAATGCTCTTCAGAAAGAGGAGACATGTATATTTAGTGACCCCAATTTGAGTTTTATGACCTTAGGCTGAGCTGGATCATTTTAGCCAGCAAGATTTCATACTCTAATACCTTGGTTTCCTAGGGCAGTCCCATGTTTATGCTGGCTGTCCTTGCCTAATTATTACCAACATCCCCTTTTCATCTCAGTCATATCCTGTTTTAGAATCGTATGGTTACCCTACCTGTATTTTTCTTTCTTTTTGAGTTTATATCTAAAAGGTAAATCTCAATATTATACACAGTTTGGAAGACAGAATGGAGATACTTCTGTATCCCATCTCTTTAATCCCAAAGCATTTCATCTTTTCCACATCTGTATCTTATCTGGTTGTAATTATAGTGTTTATATCCTTAAATCGGCTGAATCATGAACCATATTTTGTTACATTTAGATACGCCTTAAATGTTTCTGTACTTGTAAGTGTTGACTAAATACTTAGCCAGAATTATGAAGAGGTTTTTTAATTCTGTTTTCCCTTATGTAGCCGGAACTCCAGAAGATAAAATGAGGCTGTTTCTTATCTATTATATAAGTGCACAGCAGGCACCTTCTGAGGTATGTCCTCTATTCATTTATTGGGCAAAAGGGGAAATAACTTGTTTCAAAAATAGAAGTAAAAATCACTGGAGCCAAATAAATACTTCATTTCTTTCTTTAAAAGAAAAACAGTTTGCTCCCACTGCTTCACTTGACTAGCCTAAAAAAAAGAAAAACAGTTCGTTAAGGCTTGTTCTAATTACTGCTGAGTTTTATAGCAGTATTCATTGTTACCAAGAGAACTGTTCTCTCATTAAATGTCTGACCACTTTTAAGTTGTTGGAATATGAACTGAATTTAAGTAGGCAAAGTTGTTATTTCTGGAAAATAGCTATTCTAAACTAAATTAACCAAGTTTGATATGCTTTTTGAAAGGTTGGTCTTATCATTTCTCATAATATGATTACATTAAAAGTTCCATTCCTTTAAGCTATAGCCACCAATACTTATTTGCCTTCCAAGAAATTTATCTTTAACCTCAAGCAAAAATGTGGTGCTATTTTAAGATTGTTTTAAAACTAATGTTCATTATAGAAAAGAAGTGACTTGACGGAAAATACCCAGTGTCCCAAAAAGTTCTGTAAAAAATGTAATTTAATAAGATTAAACTTCAGGTTCATGTCATACAGTTCATATAAAAATAAAGTTTAGGTACTTTGTATTACAATAAAATAACTACTTTTATATTAGAATAAATTCTTAAGAATGATTGGAAAATGTCAAATGTTCCTTCTAGAAGATTTTTTTCTCAGTGGAAGCATGGCTTGTGGGTGATTTTATTGTTTTGGTTTTTTTTCCTGTAATGAGCCATCAATTGCTTTTGAGGAAAAAATATTTAAGTCTGTGTTAGCAATGACTTTATGAAGGAATGCAGTGATTTGGTTATCAGTCTTGGTTTTGGGTTAGAGACCTGCTCACTCAGTACAATTTTACTGGAAGCAGCAGGCATGAGAATCTCGACGATGACATCTAGAATGATGTGGCTCTTGTGAACTCTTTTCCTTTGCTGATAGCATTGATCTTTTTAATGTCTGGTATATTACAAAGCTTTTGGTCAATAATCTGTGGCATATTAAAACAGCAGACTAAACTCATCTTTTTATCTGGCCAGTTTTACTTTATGCTAGGAATACATCTATTGACCTTTATTTTAATTCAGTAATAAAGTGTCATTTTCTTTTTAGAGATCTTTCTCATTAATGGGGTAACCTGTATCTTAGGGGATTTTTATAGCCTATTTATAATATTTTTTTAAGAACATATGACTTTAGCCCTGGCCAGTTTGGCTCAGCGGTTAGAGCGTCGGCCTGCGGTCCCGAGAGACCCGGGTTCGGTTCCCGCTAAGGGCACGTACTTCGGTTGCAGTTTGTCCCCGGCCCTGGTTGGTCGTGCGGGTGGCAGCCACTCGATGTGTGTCCCTTCACGTCGATGTTTCTCTCTCTCTCTTCCTTCCTCTCTCTCCCTCCCACTCTGTGCAAAAAATGGAAAAGTGTCCTCAGGTGAGGATTTAAAAAAAAAAAAAAAAAAAAGAACATATGACTTTAAAACTTAATTTAAGATTTTCAAATTTTACCACATTATTTTATTTTCATTAATTTTGGTAAGGTTAAGTTTTTCCATAAGTTTAAGTGATTACTAAGAGGCTTGAAGCAAATTATGACTACTGATACAAGATTAATAGCCTCAAAAATGCAAAGTAGTAAACATCACTGGTTGAAGGTGAGCTTAAAGGTTTCTGTATTATTAAGTTTTTATGATTGAGTCACTATGATAATAAGCTCCTATAAATTATACAATTTCAACTAGATTTACTCATCAGGAAATAGAAACAACAAGAAAGAGAAAACAATGATTTTAAAAGTGTAGGACACCTGCTATTCCGTTAATGAATTTGGACCTCTACTGTGAATAAGGTGGAAAGCCTGCATCTGCAGTTCCCCTTGGTCATTGTCATCCCTCTTGTGTTTCTCATTTTGGAATAATCTTCGTCAAGCCAAATCTTTCCGTTATGCTTATCCCAGGGAAAGGCAATCTATTTCAACAGTTGAGACAAAACTGACTCTGTTGGACTTATCATTTGTTGGACTTACAGAGGGATGACAATATTGTGCTTTATAAGTAATTTTGTGATTATATGATTACATGTGATTTTTGTCTCACTTGGATGGTCACTTCAGATACAACCCGACTCTACTTGGGTTCCTCAAATTCAAACTCATGCCTATGCCCTAACTTTTTGAATAATCACATGACAACAAACAAAATAATCTCTTTCAGAAAAGTAAAAATTTTTGTTATGTCGTTCTTGCTTTCAGGCTGACTTGGAACAATACAAAAAAGCTTTAACTGATGCAGGATGCAACCTTGATCCCTTACAGTATATCAAACAGTGGAAGTAAGTTTTATTTTCTTTTTACAGTTTCATCATTTAAGAGAGTACAATGGAAGTTGAATTCTCAAGTAAATGGCATTTTTACTAAGAAAATTGAACAATGCCTTAATTTTTTTTATTCAGTGGTATAGATATTTTCTTATCTGTCCCTCCCTATTCACAACATAAAATTACATAAAATAATGTCGTCTTTCTTTCCTAGACATGTTTGTTTTCTTTATCTTTTTCTTTTTTTGTTACATTTGTCCCTTCTTTTTCCCCATTGACACCCTCCTACCTGCCCTCACCCCCGTTAAATTTTCGTCATTGATAAGATGAAAAAGTCAAAGAAATAAGTTTTGAGTCAAATGTCTCAAAAACATGAAAAGGCAGTTCTAATTTCACTGGTAATCAAAGAAATGCCATTAACATAGTGCAGAGATTTACAAAATATTGTGCCAAGGGTAGGAACAAATTAATTGATGCATTTATACTCTGCTATTAGAAATATAAATTGTCACAATTTTGATGGATGGTATAAAAAGTTGTTTTCTTTTTATTTTGTATGTGTGTATGTTTTAAATAAAATGCCTTTGATCTAGAACTTCTGCTCTTGAGGAATTATCCCAAAGAGTGTTGGAGTTCTAAAATCTTAGAAGCAATTTTATTTTATTTTTTTTATTATTATTATTTTTTAATCCTCACCCGAGGACATTTTTCCATTTTTTGTTCAGGTAGAGTGGGAGGGAGAGAGAGGAACAGAGAGAGAGAAACATCGATGTAAAGGGACATATCGAGTGGTTGCCACCCGCACAACCGACCAGGGCCGGGGACAAACTGCAACCAAGGTACGTGCCCTTAGCGGGAACCGAACCCGGGTCTCTTAGGACCGCAGGCCGACGCTTAGAAGCAATTTTAATAATGAAATTTTGAAAACCAACCTAGATATCCAACAATAAGATTAGTAGATGAATTATGGCATTTCCATAAGATAAAATACAACAGTCATTTTAAAACTCATGTTGTAGAAGACTTATTTAATGACATTGAGGAATGTCCATATTATATTGAAAGTGAAAAAGTAATTTACCATAGTATTCCTTGATTTGTTTGATAAATATTTATTTCCTTTGTGTGCCTAGGGACTGTTCTAGATATCAAGAATGCAATGGTGAACAACAGGCTAAGGAAGGCCCCTGCTCTCATTGAATTTACTTTTGTTGAGGGAACAATCTACAAATAAGCAAACAAATGAACAAATTGTTAAACTATATTAAGTGACATAAAAGCAAATAAAACTGAATGATAAGATCTTGTTAGGGGTGATAGTTAAATTTGTAGAGGAAATATGAAAAGTCTCTTGAAATTGATATTTGAGACAAAAATTAGATGACATCGTTTATATTATGATCCCGAATACCCATTTATCCATCCATGCGTGAGTGTGTGTGAACATTCACATATATACAAATAATTACACAGCTGAGACATACACCTAAATGTCATTAGTGGCTAACTTTGAGTGGTAGATTTTTTTTTCTTTTGGATACTTATCTTTACTTTCCAAATGTTCTACAAACATTACCTTCAAATTTTTTCTTAAAATAATTGTTTTAAGACTACAAGGTTGAATATGCTTTCTGATCCCAGCTTTATCAAAAAATATGCATAGCTAGCCCTGGCCAGTTTTGCTCAGCGGTTAGAGTGTCAGCTTCTGGACCAGCGGGTCTCAGGTTCAGTTCCCAATCAAGGGCACATACCTGGGTTGCAGGTTTGATCGCCAGCCCCCATGAGGGTTGTGCAGGAGGCAACCAATCAATGTGTGTCTCACATCCATGTTTTTCTCTCTCCCTCCCTCCCTTCCGCTCTATGTTAAAAAATCAATGGAAAAATATCCTCACAAGAGAACCAAAAAATATATATATTTATACACACACACACACACATATATGCATAACTAGACAGAACAACCGACATTCAGAACTGCCTGAAGTCTCGCTGAGCAGAAGTACTATAAGGCTATAAAGAAGAAGCTACATTGATACTGGTAGTGCTGGCAGAAGCATTGTTCCTTTGCTGAGCCCTTCCCTCACAAAGCTGGCAGGCTGGTGCCATATCTGAGTCTCCACCTACCTGGCTGACAGTTTGTCCCACCCTGGTGATTCCCTGAGACCCCACCTCACCCAACTTTTGGGCCATCCAAGCCATTTCCAGTGGCTTTACCATACAACCACCCTCTTGACTCATGCTTCGGACTTTCCTAAAAATCTCTCAAACAAGCAGCATCTGGCCTCAGTGCACCCCTTACCTCTTGCTAAGTGGTCCCAGGCCTGGCACTAGCATCAGCCAGCCTTGGTTTTCAGCTTAGCCTCTCCCAGGGACCTCCTAGCCCAGCACAAGTAATAGCCTTCTACAGATCGCTCTGTAGCTCATGTGGTGGCCCCAGGAAGAGCACAGGCCATGGCTGACCTCACATCTCCTGGGAGGCCCCAGAGCCAGTACACCCAATAGATAACTTCAGACCACACCCTGTTACAACCCAACCACCTCCACAAGCAGCACATTCAAGGGGCAGACTCAGCCGGCACCAGAGCCACACTGGAGCAAGTCTTGCTCCATGGGGTTGTCCTCTGCACAGCAGCTACTCCACTGTAGTTGCAGCTGGTCCTCATAGCCAGTTAGCCTTAGGATCAGTTCCTCCTAGTGGTGTCAACAGCAATCAGGGCTCAACTGCGACAGGACAGTGCACGCAGCCCACACAGGGGGCGCACATAGAGCGCTCAGCTCAGGCAACTGGGGAGGCTGTGCCACTGGGCCCTACAGGAGACTTACTACACAAGACCACTCTGCCAAGTCTGGGAGACATAGCAGCTCTACATAATACAGAAACAAACATAGGGAAGCAGCCAAAATGCAGAGACAAAGAAACAGGTCCCAAATGAAAGAACAGGAGAAATCTCCAGAGAAAGTATTAAATGGAGGCAAGCAAACTACCAGATGCAGAGTAATAAACACCTGGTTATTAGGATGCTCGAGGAACTTATGAGAACTTCAACAGCATAAAAAAGGACATGGAAACCATAAAAAAAAAAAGTCATAAATGAAGGATACACTAACTGAAATGCAGAATAAATTAAAGGAAATCAACAGAGTAGATGAAGCAGGAAATCAGTCAGCAATTTGGAATATAAGAAAGCAGAAAACACCCAACCAGAACAGCAAAAGAAAAGGAAAAATGAAGATAGTGTAAGGAGCCTCTGGGACATCTTCAGGCGTACCATCATTCACATCATGGGGTGCTGGAAGGAGAAGAGAGCAAGAAATTCAAAACCTATTTGAAAAAATAATGACAGGAAACTTCCCTAACCTGGTAAAGGAAACAGACGTACAAGCCCAGGAAGCACAGAGGGTCCCAAATAAGTTGAACCCAAAGAGGCCCACACCAAAACACATCACAATTAAAATGCCAAAGTATAAAGACAGAATCTTAAAAGCAGCAAGAGAAGGACTGTTAGTTCCCTACAAGGGAGCTCCCATAAGACTCTTGGCTGATTTCTCAACAGAAATTTGTAGGTCAGAAGGGAATTGGCACAAAATGTTCAAGTGATGATAAGGAAGGACCTATAATCCAGATTACTCAGCAAAACCATCATTTAGAATTGAAGGTCAGATAAAAAGCCCAATGAATTCATCACCACCAAACCAGTATTACAAGAAATGTTGAAGGGTCTGCTTTAAGAAGAAGAAAAGTCAAAGTACAAATAATAAAATTGCAATAGATACATATCTGTCAACAACTACTTTAAATGCAAATGGATTAAATGCTTCAATCAAAAGACATGTGGTGACCGAATAAATAACAAACAAGGCCCTTACATATGCTGTCTACCAGACTCCCTCAGATCCAAAGACACACCCTCAGACCAAAAGTAAAGGGTTTGTCAAAAGATATTTCATGAAAATGGAAACAAAACAAAAAGCTGGGGTAGCAATACTTTATACCAGAGGAAATAGACTATAAAACAAAAGCTATAACAAGAGGAGCCAGCAACTCCACTACTGAGTATTTAACCGAAGAAAACCAAACCACTAAATCAAAAAGGCATATACGTCCATATGTTCATTGCAGCATTATTTAGAATAGCCAAGATATGGAAGCAACCTAAGTGTTCATCAATAGATGAATGGGAAAAGAAGAAGTGGTGCATATTATACAAAGGAATATGACTCAGCAATAAAAAAGAATGAAATCTTGCCATCTGCAACAACATGGATGGACCTATAGGGTATTATGCTAAATGAAATAAGTTGGAAAAAGACAAATGCCAGATGATTTCACTTACATGTGGAATCTAAAAAATAAGCAGAACAGAGACAGACTCAGGTACGGAGAACAATTTGATGCTTGTCAGGTGGGATGGGTGGAAAAGGTAAAAGCATTTAGAAGTACAAATTGGTAGTTACAGAAGAGTCACCGGGATGTAAAGTACAGCATAGGGAATATAGTCAATAAGGTAATAACTACAAATGGAGTCAGATGGGTACTAGATTTATCAGGTGATCACTTCATAAGTTATATAAATGTCTAATCACAAGTTGTGCACCTGAAACTACTGTAATTAAAAAGAAATTTTTTTAGTACATAGCTAGAGACATATGCCACATTATCAGGGGTTATCTCTAAGTTATAAGTTTATGAGTGCTTTTTATTATCTATACATTTGTTTTTTCAAATTTTATTTGTGTCTTGTAATAAGAAAAAATATTTTTAAAAACCTTTGTTTAAAAAGGGAAACTGAACACCATCCTTTTTTATTTCCATAATATATACACTTACACATTTGGCTTTGTGGCATGTTTCATTGTTTTTTAATTATGACTTTATGGGAATTCCTTAATCAAACATTTGGTGTTACAAGAGGAAAAGCAGTCTTAGGTATTATTTTATATAGTTACAAAAATTTTCATTTCTAATTTGTAATTTTGTTTTTAATTGAGTTATACCAGTTTATTTAAGAAAATTTTAGAAAACTCTGGTATAAGGAAAGTAAAAATTTACCTGTAATCTCAACATCCACAATGTACAGGTGAACATTAGGAACATTAGTGTATATCCTTTCACATGCATATTACATATAGTTTTTAAAACTGGGAAATCATTATTACAGACAGTTTTATGTTCTAGTTTTCCAGTACCTTTCATCAAACCAGTTTTTAATTGTCTTAGTTTTCAGTTGTAGTATTTAGTGTTTGCATAATATTCAGCCATATAAATATAGTATTATTTATTTATTCTTTCTTTATTATTTGGAGATAGTTGTTTCTCGTGAAAAATAAATTTATGTTACAGGCAAAAATTCTAGTCTACTGAAAACGGGTGATACACATCCTCCTTTCTGAACAAGATTGTGATTTTTGTGTTTGGGATTTCTCTAATGGTATTATTATCAGTGGATTTTGTCCTGCTTGAAAAAGAATGTTTTTAGCATTTCAATTATCACATCTTAGTGATTCCTTTTTTTTTTTTTTTTTTAACTTTGTTAAGATTTTCTTGCATTTAGGTAGACTCTTCTTTCACTGAAGCTTTTGAAATAATTAAGAATTATAAAAGAATTAATTTTCACATAAAAATGTTTATAGTATGTTACTTAAATATGTTATAGAACAGCATGTACAATACAATATTAACTGTGTTATGAAAAGTATATACGTTATATGTGCATATGACCAAAGTTTAGAAGAATATGCACCAAAATCCTAACAGAGGTTATCTCAGCATGGGAGGGTTCTTCTGGCAGCATCTGTTTTCTGGGCTCTGCAGTGAGCATATTCCCAGAAGGGAAGTATTTTAAGGCATATCTAAGTGTTATCTTTTTGCCCATCTTTCAGGAGTTCTGTAGTTAAAAATTCTTGACATTTAGAAAGACTTGAAAATAAATGACTGTAAACATTTAAGTATAAAAGTATATGGTAGAGGATATAATTAAAAGGAAAAATCACTGAGTAGTGGAATTAGAATAGTGTTATAAAGAAAATGGTTTGAGCTGAGTTTTAAAGGGAAATGTACAGTTTCTACTGGAGAAGAGGGCAGTAAGTTTATACCTCCCAAAGGACGGTATGAACAAAGGCATATGTCTGGGAAGGAGGGCATATGAAATGTGGGGAACAGTAAAGAGACTAAACTTGCCCTGGCTGGTTTGGCCCAGCAGTTAGAGCATCAGCCTGCGGTCCAGAAAGACCCGGGTTCGGTTCCCGCTAAGGGCACGTACCTCGGTTGCAGTTTGTCCTCGGCCCTGGTTGGGCTGGTGGGGGGCAGCCACTCAATGTGTCCCTTTCACGTCAATGTTTCTCTCTCTCTCCCTCTCTTCCTCTCTCTCCCTCCTGCTCTATCTGAACAAAAAATGAAAAAATGTCCTCGAGTGAGGATTAAAAAAAAAAGAGAGACTAAACTTAATCAGTACATAATGGTTCTTCTAAGGCAGCAAGTCTATTTTATGCTAATGACTGGATAGAAAGGAAAAGAAAAATTGTGAAGTTTGGAAAATTAATGCATTGTTTTCTAAAGAATCTCAGTATTTCAGTACTAATTGTACTGTATTTCAGTATTATTTTACATGGTTACAAATTTACATGGTTACAGATTTTTATAATCTTGGTTTATATAATTGTTTTGGTGCTGATTATACTGAAATATTGAATTATGTTTAAAAATTATTTCTCTTTCCAAAAAATATCTGCATATTAAAAGCTAAAGTTAGTAGACATTTTATTTTTTTATTGAATTTATTAGGATGACATTGGATAATAAAATTATGCAGGTTTCAGGTGTACAGTTACAGTACATCATCTATATATTGTGTTGTCTGTTTACCACCCCCAGTCAAGTCTCCTTTCATCACCAGTTATCCCCCCTTTACCTTTTTCTACCTCACCTCATCCCCTTTCCTGTCAATAGATATTTTAATACCATGATACTGAATGTTAACTCTAATAATCAGCTTCTTCATATAACTATCTTATTTTTTAGGGCTTTTGCCAAGATGGCCTCAGCTCCTGCCAGCTATGGCAACACTACCACTAAGTCAATGGGGTAAGTACTTTAATAATTCTGATTGGGTACGTTTGGTACTCCCGACCATAATTAGACTTTTATGCCTTAAAAATACACTGACACTTGTAGAATATTTTTATTGTGATAGAGAATAAATATCAACATGCCTTTGGCTTCTATTTAGATAGTTTAAATTTTCACTTTAAAATGTTAATATACCTTACATGTTATGAGCTATTGGCTTTTTTTGCTTTCTTGTTCCTAAAACATTACATGTTTTCATTTCCAGAAGATATATGAAGTTTAAGCTGTTTTTACATCAATGTGGATAACTAACATAGACTTGAAGCTAGGCACTTAAGACGTAGCTTCAAGGTAGACCTGGGCATCCTGCTAAATAATAGTGAGGAAGTCTCAAGGGCTGGGTATGACATCTGACTCCAGAGTATCCTGTAGAGTCTGTTTGATTTTCAAAGGAGCTGAGAAAGGTTATTTTAACTACTCTTTTTCATACAATACTACTTTCAAATTCTTAGCTTATTTTTTATAGAGCAAAAACATGAAGCCCAGAGGAAAATAGGTTTATCCTAGCCCCACCCAGAGCTACCACTTTTTAAAAAATATATTTGTACTGATTTTAGAGAGAGAGGAAAGGGGGGAAGAGAGAGAGAGAAACATTGATGAGAGAGAAACAATGATTACCTGCCTCCTGCATGGCCCCTACTGGGGATCGAACCACAACAAGGGCATGTACCCTGACCAATTGAACCAGTGATTTCTTGGTGCATGGGACTATGCTCAACCAACTGAGCCACACCAGCCAGTGCCTGAGTTACCACTTTTTGTTTGTTTGTTTGTTAATCTTCACTGGAGGATATTTTTTCCATTGATTTTTAGAGAGAGTGGAAGGGAGTGGGGCTGGGGTGGAGAGAGAGAGAGAGAGAAACATCAATTTGAGAGACACATCAACTGGTTGCCTCCTGCCCACACCCTAACTGGGACTGGGGATTGAACCTCCAGATATGTCAGGTATGTGCCCTTGACTGGGAATCGAACCTGTGACCCTTCAGGGCATGGGTCGGTGCTCTAACCACTGAGTAACACTGGCCAGGGCTGAGCTACCCCCTTTTTTTTTTTATCCTCACCCGAGGACATTTTTCTGTTTTTTGTTCAGACAGAGTAGGAGGGAGAGAGAGGAACATAGACATGAAAGGGACACATCAAGTGGCTCCCTCCCGTACGACCCAACCAGGGCTGGGGACAAATTGCAACCGAGGTACAGGTCCTTAGCAGGAACCAAACCCAGGTCTCTCTGGACCTCAGGCCGACGCTCTAACCACTGAGCAAAACCGGCCAGGGCTGAACTACCATTTTTAATGAAGCTATTTTCAAAAACAAAATCATGCCCTGTCCAGTTTGGCTCAGCGGTTAGAGTGTCGGACTGGAGAGACCTGGGTTCGGTTCCCATTAAGGGCATGTACCTCGTTTGCAGTTTGTCCCTGGCCCTGGTTGGGGTTGTGTAAGTGGCAACCACTCGGTGTGTGTCTCTCACATCGATGCCCCCCACACACACTCTATCTGAAGGTAAATGCAAAAATGTCCTTGAGTGAGGATAAAAATAAAGTGGTTCTCCACAAATTATAATTTGCCTAAAAACTATAGCTAAGGCTCGTTATTTACAATAGCTAAGATCTGGAAACAGCCCAAGTGCCTATCAGTAAATGAGTGGATAAAAATGCTGTTGGAGCCTGGCCAGTGTGGCTCAGTGATTGAGCATCGACCCATGCACCAAGAGGTTGTCAGTTCATTTCCCGGGCAGGGCACATGCTCAGATTGTGGGCTGATCCCCAGTGGAGGGCATGCAGGAGGTGGCCAATCGTTCTCTCTCATCGATGTTTCTATCTCTCTCTCTCTTCAATAAAGAAAAAAAAAAATTTTTTTTAACTGCTGTACATTTACACAATGGGATATTATGCAACTGTAAAAAAAGAAGGCTCTCTTACCCTCTGCAACAGCAGGGATGGACCTGGAAATTATTATGCTAAGTGAAAGAAGCCAGTGAGAGAAAGAAAAGTATCACATGATCTCACTTATATGTGGAATCTAATGAACAAAATAAACTGAATCAGAATACGTCCAGAGAGAGACATGGATACCTGGAACAAACTGACAGCTCTTAGAGGGGCGGGGGTTAGGAGGATGGGAAGAGATAAACCAAAAAACATATTTACATATATGCATAGCCTATGGACAAAGACAATAGTGTGATGAATGCCTGTAGGGGGATGGGACTGGGTGATGGGGGACAAAGGGTGGGGAAATGTGGGACATCTGTAATAATGTCAACAATTTTGTAAAAAAACTGTAACTAAGGTTAAGCAATTAAAATGTTTATTTTGAGGGCAGCTCTTCATTTTTACATTTTATTAATAATTATTGACTAGTCAGAGTATTTTATTTCTTTTTTGTTGTGAAATAAAATTGCAGCAGTAATACCAAAATTCTCAAGTCATATCTGTTTAGTGAAAACAAATATGGTAGATATAGAAGGTATCAGCATGTAATTAGGCAAATATTTTATCTATAACATATTGGAGAGCTAACTGATGCTTATTGTGATCCTCTTCTTTTGCCCCTAGTCTCTTATCACGAGTCATGAATACTGGATCACAGTTTGTGATGGAAGGAGTGAAGAACCTGGTATTGAAACAGCAAGTAAGTACACTTGTTAGAAAACATACTGGTAATTTTTTTTTTTAATCCTTACCCGAGGATATTTTTACATTTATCCTCAGACAGAGTGGGAGGGAGAGAGAGAAAAAAACATTAATGTAAGAGAGACAAATCAATTGGTTGCCACTTGCAAGACCCCAACCGGGACCAGGGACTAACCACAACCGAGGCATGTGCCCTTAGCCAGAATCAAACCCGGAACTCTTTGGTCCGCAGGCCGACGCTCTAACTGCAGAGCCACACAGGCCGGGGCCATACTGGTAATTTTTAAACAGAAGTTGACATGTTGATTCCTCAGCTAAAGCAACTTCAAGATATAATCAAGTTATAACTACTAGGAATAAAATGAAATCAAGTGTCTTTCTTTGGTATACTTAAGAATTTTTACATGTGTTTTTCAAAGCTCTGTCATTGCATTTTTCTTTTAATTTGCTCTCAGGCTTTACTGACTTTTTTCTTTCTTTCTTTGACTAGTGTCAGGTTTGTGAAAGTACCTTGATTGAAAAAAAATGAACAGCCCTGGCCGGTTTGGCTCAGCGGTTAGAGCGTCGGCCTGCGGTCCTGAGAGACCCGGGTTCGGTTCCCGCTAAGGGCACGTACCTCGGTTGCAGTTTGTCCCCGGCCCTGGTCGGTCGTGTGGGTGGCAGCCACTCGATGTGTCCCCTTTCACGTCGATGTTTCTCTCTCTCTCTCCCTTCCTCTCTCTCCCTCCCACTCTATCTGTACAAAAATTGCAAAAATGTCCTCGGGTGAGGATTAAAAAAAAGAAAAAAAATGAACAAAACCTATTTAGGATAACTGCTACATAATGCATATTATTTAAGTTTTAATGTATTAAGAGAATAGACTAATGAACGTAATAGTCTAAAGGCCTGTGTAAATTAGAATCATTTATGTTTTAGGGTAATAAAACTATAATTTGATTTTGTACATCCTTTTGGAATAACTGTTTTATACATAGACCTTTTTTTTTTTTTTAATTTTTTTTTATCCTCACCCGAGGACATTTTTCATTTTTTTGTTCAGTTAGAGTGGGAGGGAGAGAGAGGAAGAGAGAGAGAGAGAGAGAGAAACATAGACGTGAAAGAGACACATTGAGTGGCTGCCACCTGCTCGACCAACCAGGGCCAGGGACAAACTGCAACTGAGGTACATGCCCTTAGCGGGAACCGAACCCGAGTCTCTCTGGACCGCAGGCTGACGCTCTAACCGCTGAGCCAAACCAGCCAGGGCCATAGAACACTTTTAAATGATTTTTGTATTTGTATTTTGTTCTGTTATTCTAATATATAGATAGATGTTCTGCTTCAGAGAGTCATTAATTAATTTGGTTCTTTTCAAACAGAATTTGTTTTTTACTTTCTATTATGGAAATTTTCAGATATACATTAGTATAGCAGACTCTCCTGAACCATTTGCCAAGCTTTAGCTCAGGATTCTTTCTTTCATTCTTGTTTATCTTTCCTACCTAAATATTTTTAAATTTTATTTAATTTTACTGGGATATTTTAAAGCAAATCTGAGACATAATATTCACACATAAATATTATATGTGTCTCATTATAATGAGAAGACTTTTAAAGGCCAAATTAAGAAAAGAGATGGAGTTAATTATTGGTTACTCATCTGTGAATATTGTTTGCTTACTTGTTTTCAGAAGAAATTAGATTCTTTCTCTGAATTCCTGACACTTCTGTGGTTTTTACAGTGTTTACATGTGATATTTAGTGTTGACAGTATTCATTATTGTTTTGCTTTTTTAACCAGTTTTATTGAGATATAATTGACATACAATGTTTTACTTCTTGATGAGTTCCTTGAGAGCAAGGAATTTTTTCCCCCGTCTTTGAATTTGACATAGTGCTTTGTATACATAGGTATTTAATTATTTGAATAAGTGAAAACATTTTATTGTAAAAACCATGTAGTATTGCTAAAGAACAGTGAAAAATTCTAATTTGCTTTATTTAATTACATGGCTGATAACTTTTCAAACTTTCTTCCAGATACATTCCAGACTACATTATTTCCTAAATATTTGGGAATATTTTTAGTTTCCTCCCTCTTAGGAATTATTTTCAGTCTCTCCCATTCTACCTCTCTCCAGTTAGGTGCTACTCCTAAGTACTCACTGTACTGCTTTTACTGTTTCACACAACTTCCTTGAGTCCGTTTATCTTCACTCTCTTGGACTACAAAAAGTGAAAAGGTACAAAAATAGGAAGTTTGGTACATTGGAGACCGCACTGTACTGTACTTTACAGTTTAACCTAATACCTCTGAAAAATACTGCTCATGACACTTATTAAAGAACAGTAAGGCAGACTTTATTCCGGGGGCCCATCGCAAAAGGTACTGGGACCACTTCATGGAGGCTGCAGTTGGAGGGAGAGATGGGCTTCACTGCAAATACATCAAGTTAACATGAGAATTTATTGCAAAGAAGCAGGGAAGAGTCAGTGGATGGAAAATTACTAAAAGTAAATATCAGAGATAGAGGGGGATTCTGGCTTAACCAACTTAACAGGATTCTTGCTGAACACAGGCCAGTGTGACCGGATATCTCGTGGGAGATGGTGAGGATGAGTAACCTGATCAGATGTCAAGGGGAATCAGATATTGAGGATGGGGGTTCTGGCTAAACTGACTTAGCAGGATTCTTCCTAAAGTTGGAAAACGCAAGACAATCACAGAATTTCAGAAGTTGAGGCCCAGTTGAAACAACTCAGAAGAGGATGAGTAGAGTTTTCATCTACTATGGGCAGAGGATTTCGTTCCATGAGACAAGAGGGAACCACCAATTTCTAAGATAATAAATGGCTGCCTTTTGCTAGATAGACTTGTATAACATCATGTAGTTAACTTTTTTTTTGAGGAAAATTACATATTTTTCTTAACATGTCACTTTTATTTTTTATTTTTATTTTTTTTAATTTTATTTTTGTTACAGATGTTTCTCTTTTTCTACCCCATTGACACCCTCTTCCCCATCCCTCCCACTCCATCCCCGACTTTGTTGTCCATGTCCATTGGTTTTGTGTACATGCATATAACTTCTGTGGTTTATCTCTTCCCTCTCCCACCACCCCTTCTTCTGAGGGTTGTCAGTCTGTACCCTGCTTCCACATCTCTGGGTCTACCCTATTCCTCAGACTGTTATGTTCATTATATTCCACAAATAAATGAGATCATGTGGGATTTGTCATTTTCTTCTTAGCTTGTTTCGCTTAGGATAATACTTTCCAGGTCCCTCCATGTGGTCTCAAAGGATGAGAGATCTTTCTTTCTTACTGCTGCATAGTACTTCATTGTGTATATGTACCACAGCTTTTTTATCCATTCGTCCACTGATGGACAGTTGGGCTGTTTCCAGATCTTAGCTATTGTAAATAGTGCTGCTATGAACATGGAGGTACATATATTCTTTCTGATTGGTTTTTCAGGCTTCTTAGGGTATATTCCTAGAAGTGGGATCACTGGGTCAAATGGCAGTTCAAATTTTAACTTTTGAGATATCACCATATTGTTTTCCATAGTGGCTGCACCAGTCTGCATTCCCACCAGCAGTATACTAGAGTCCCCTTTTCTCCACACCCTGTGATGATTTGTTGATGGTGGCCATTCTGACAGGTGTGAGGTGATACCTCATTGTTGTTTTAATTTGCATCTCTCTGATGATTAGTGATGTTGAGCATTTCTTCATATGTCTCTTAGCCATTTGTATGTCCTGTTTGGAGAGGTGTCTATTCCGCTCCTCTGCCCATCTTTTAATTGGGTTCTTTGTCTTCCTTTGTTGAGTTGTATAAGCACTCTATATATTTTGGAAATTAATCCCTTATCTGATGTATCATTGGCAATGAATGCTCTCCCATACAGTGGGTTGCCTTTCTGTTTTGATGTTGGTTTCTTTTGCTGTCTGCCACCCCAGGGGAGGGCTCACCAAAGGATCAAAGGCCTCTGATAGCACGTTTGCCCTGGAGAAAGCCCCCTCTCCAGACCTCCGTCCAGTGCCAAACAGCTCAGTTCCTCCCTGTATGTCTCTGGCGCCCCTTGAGCTGCCTCCCTTCCAAGCTTAGAGGGAGAGAGTCCGACAAGTCCATGTGCGGGCCCTTTAAGGAGCTGCCTGGGGCTCCAGCTGCTTCAGCCTCCCTGAGCCTCAGTTCCCGCTGCTTTTTCCAGCCAGAAGTTATGGGGATTCTCTTCCTGGCACTGGAACCCTGAGCAGGGCACCTGGTGTGGGACGGGGACCCCTCAGTCCTCAGGGAGGACCTTCCCAGCCGAGTTGTCCTCCTGATTTTTATCCGCCACACGTGGGTGTGGGACCAGCTGTTGCGCCTCCGCCCCTCCTCCCAGTCTGGATGTGGCTGCTGCTTTAGTTCTGTAGTCGTAGGACTTCCATTGAGCCTGATTTCAGGCGGTTTTGAGTGATGGTTGTTCTGTAGTTTAGTTGTAACTCTGATGTGGTTGTGAGAGGACGCGATACCGCGTTTACCTACGCCACCATCTTGACCGGAAGTCCCCTCATCTTACTCTTTACGGCTAATACAGTCTTCAAGATAAGCAATCTCTTCAAGGAGGTCCACATACTACTTTTCATTCTCCAGGGCTTTGATAAGCAGGACAGCAGCATCTCTTGTCCCAACCTCACTGCTGGCTTCAGCATCAGAGGATCATTCCAAGCTCAAGGCTGCAAGGGGAGAGAGAGAAACAGCCACCACAGATCAGATGGGTATACAGGGCAACAAGTGACTAATTCTAGAACTAGAGGAGGGAAGTAATTTTTACCTGTTTTGGGTATAGAGCTGTATTGTTTTTCTTAGATGTCTGTTTTTCAATTAATGTGAATATCTTATTTCAAATTTGTTTTTAAGCAATTACACCATCAGAAGTAAAATTAACATTTTTATTTAAACTTTTATAGGGACCAAAATCACAAAACATGACTATGGTATAAAGCCAGAAAGTGTTTTTAGAAATAGATTCCTCACTGTTTTTTTCCTCCGGGTAAAATTTTTAGTTTATTTATTTGAAATTTGAACATTTTAGAAGTAGTGGTCTTTAATCTAGGATAGTCATTGTGTATGGGAAGTTCTCTGAAATCTATATTTATAGAGGCTTTCTATTAATAAAAATTTAGTTATTAACCTATACAATATATATTTTACTTTATTTCTAAAATAGCAGTTTCCAAAAACAGTGAAAAATATGCTTGGCAATTTTAAAAACAATGTGTTTCTATTAGATTAAATTTCAATTATACCTCTTACATTGAGGTACACAAATGTTTTATGTTTCTAAAGACGAGTAAGTTAAGTGAAGAAAATTATGTGGTTTTGTTCTGTTTTATCTGTTGGTGTGTTAGCTGCCACAGTTCAGTTTTTCGATCAATAAAAGTTTATTAATCTTGTACAGAAATTATTGTTAGTATAAAACTGATTTTAAAATGATCAATTTATTTCAACCCTTCATTTAGGCAAAGAATAACAACTAGGTAGAGCAATACTTGGTGAAAGAGAGGTCTCAGCAGTTGTCTTCTGAAATACTCTTTCGTAAGCCTGTAAAGCCATTCTGTACTTCCTTCACCGTTCTCTGCACTTGGAGTCCCGGCACTGGGACCCTGTGGGAGGACTGTGTGGTGCAGCCCTGACACATTACCTGTTATGTGATCTGGTTGTAAAGACCAGACAGAAGTACAAAGAATTGTCTATGGGCTCATGAACTTTTGAACTATTCTGCTAGAAAGAAATTTTTCTTAGATTATTTAATGACTATTCACTGGCAGACTTGTTTTTGGATATATAAAGCAGAGCTATAAAATAAAAAGCAAAGTTTAATTGTGTCTTTTAGAAAAATCTCATTTTTATATTAAATGAAGATTTATCATGAGACATTGGTATAAATATTCAGATTTTCCGTTATTTTCACTAGTATAGTAAAAGTATTATGATTCTTATGGCTTTGTTATTACAAAATCTTTTCAGAATTTTTCTCCATTGCACAGATCAAATAGTACAGTTCAGGGAACTAAAGAGAGTTATACTTAAATAAAGAAATGTTTATAAAACTAATTATAGTAAAATCTTAATGTTCCCTTGATCCAAATTTTTTAAAAATTATTTCTCCCTCTTATGTTGTAAAGCATTGTCTTCTGTTAGTATTGCTTGGAACAAATTTATAACTGTAGTTTTTTTTTTTTGAAGAAGGCATTTTTATAGATTTAAATCTGCACCAGTATTCCTTAGAGAATGTCTTACATGAACATGTTTCATTTTATTTGAAACAAAACTTAAAAGGTAAAATTTTATGCTACCTTTTTTAGAAATTCTAAATAATAGAGTTCAGGAAGCACATTTAGTCAGCTTAAGCATTTGGTGCTGTGTTTATAGTAAAAAGTTCCTGGCCAACACAAATATCAGAGAATAATGAAATAGCTTTAATTTTAAAAGGCTTTTACTTGCCAATCCAGAGAAAATAAAAGGGAAAAAAATGCATATTTTCTGTTTGCACAAAGCAGTATTTTCCTTAGTGATGGTCCGTTTTAGTAACAAAAAAATGTTTTATTGCCTAAGGAAAGTAAAACGCCTTATAAAATAGTAGTGTGCTATCTACAGTTATTTAAACAATCAGATTTAATGTTGCCTTTGTTGTATGAAGTCTCTAAGATTCAAAACTTTTTCCAGAACATCCTGTATAGTTCACAAAGGAAATATCAGTTCAAAGTGGGCAGAATACCATCCCAGTAGGAATGCACTTTGAATAGGCATAATAGTCACGTAGTAAATTTTCTGTATTCGATGTGTTATTTTCAAAATAATCATAAAAATCATCAGACTGAAATGTAACAATAGTTGTTTCTTATCCCAAGGCGTGTAAGCATGTCAAAAGGCAATATTCTGCCAACACCAGTGTTACACATTTCATGTTCAAGGTAGAAGTTGTTCTGTAAAAAGACATTGCAGAATGTCATTAAAAATTTGGAATTTATCCCAGGCAAAATAAAAATGATCAGTAGAGTTTGTATATATTCATTTCCCCATTTTTTTAAGAGCACAAGTATATTTTGGCTTAGAAGAATATACAGTAGAAATGAAAGAACTCTGTTAGGTCATTTAATCTCATACATTTTCACAAAATTTAAGTTATTCTGTTTTTAAAGAAACTTACAATTTACAAAAAAGGAAATGAAAAAAAAATAACAGTGGGAATCTTATGTGATCAAAACAAAAGCTTGCAATTGCTATTATTAAAAGCAGACATTTAACAAACAAAAAGCCCATACATGTATTTGTACTAAATCCTTGATACACCTACACATTAAAAGGACCTTTTGATTTACAATTATGTTTTTCTGTGGAAACTTTAGTAGCGTCAAGTTGTATTTATGTCTATGAAACCATTCACAGAATACTTAATCTTAGAATGTGTTTAATTGGAAGGTAAGCATACTTAACTGTAGAATGATTAAGTTATTTTGATATTAGAGAAGAACTTTGATTTGTTATTCTCATGAATATACTAATCTCTTCCACAGAATCTGCCTGTGACCCGTATTTTAGACAATCTCATGGAGATGAAGTCAAACCCTGTGAGTACCATATAACATTATAGTTATAAAATTTTTAAACATAACAAACTGACTATATGAAGGCAGTAAAATCTGAATTCATTGTGATCTTAATTACAACAGACTTCCTAAGAGAAAGAAAGGAGTCAGTGTTCTTCTTTAGCCATTATCACAGATAATGGGAATTGGTTTCTCAGCTACTAAAACCATTATGGTCAACTCTCATCCAAATTAAATGTAAAATATATCCTAAGGAGCAAGTTTCTGTAAATGAAAATGACTAGTAAGCATCAGCTGGTATAATATAAAAAGTACCAAACCAATTTAATTTTCTGAAAATTAAATTAAGAGAGGAATGCACAGTGAATTTTATTTTTTAATCTTCACCAAAAGATATTTTTCCATTTATCTTCAGATAGAGTGGGAGGGGGGCAGAGAGAGAGAGAGAAAGACATCACTGGTTGCCTCTTGCACGACCCCAACCAGGGCCGGGGACTGAACTGCAACTGAGGCACGTGCCCTTGACCAAAATCGAACTCGCGACTCTGGTCTGAAGGCTGATGCTCTAACCGCTGAGCCATACTGGCCAGGGCCATAGTGAAATTTTTAAGTGCATGTGTTCAGGTGGTACTAAATTATTTGGGGCTGAAAAGTAAATCGAGAGAGAGAAATTGTTGGGTGAATAGACAAATGAGTGGATATTGTTCACATTTACTTAAAGAATAGGTTTCTAAGCTATCTGTTTACAGTTCAAGAAAGGAATGTAAAAATTACAACAGTCTGTTTCATCAAACAGCCTAGCTTGTTCAGCAGCTAGAGAGGGGTTATCATCACAAGAGTCTGGAATTGAGAAAGGCAGAATGATCCTATTCCTAACAATACCCTAGTTTGGGTTGATCTGCATCATTATAGACTTGGCAGTGAGGCTTAAGATCCCAGGCTGAGAGAGTGAGAACAGAATTTTCAGACTAATGTGTAATTTTTTGTAATTATTAAAACATTATAATAATCTTAAAGGAAATTAACAACCAAAAAATTTAAATCTGCTCATGTGAAAACAAAGATACAGTGTAATAAAACATTCCCCAAAGGGGCAATTACAATTATGAAAGGAGTAAGAGCATTATCTAGATTAGTAAGCTAAAAGGAATTAAGTTTTTCCATCTGGGAATCCATACAGAGAAAATGGTATACAATATGGTAAGAATAGACTTTATTACTACATCCTAGAATATTTGAAGAAGGAGCTCTTTTGAAAAATCTGCAAGTATACATTTATAACTAATTATCTTAGAGAATATGACTTCATTATAGGTAGTAAATATCTGGAAGATATTCCAAACAATAATAAAAAATAAAAGTATAAATAAATGCAAAATTTTAGACAGATGCCAAATCTACAAGGAGTCAAGGTGGTGTATTTTATTACTATCCCTAACCTTGAAGTTGAGATGATGAGTAACACAGTGATAATGGTAATAGTTTATAAGGATTAAATGAGATAATATGTAAAAATGTTTTGAATGGTTCTGATCCCTCTCCTGTTGCACATAGATAAGTTGATTTAGATGCACTAAAGAGATTAGCAAAGTGCTAAATTAGACCTAGCTAGTCATCTTGAATCTATCTAATTTCAAAGGCTTTAAAATGCTATAAGCTAATTCTAGGTGCATTCTTAACACATTTGTTAATTAAGTGTTCTCTTTTTATTTGTCTTGATTGAATGAATTGAAAGAAAGAGATTAAAGTTGTGTCAGATAGGTTCTTTTATTTTTTCATTGTTGAAAATATTATAGATCTCCCCCCCCTTTTCCCCCCATTGATCCCCTCCTCCCCGTTCCCACCCCCTTCTGCTTTCTCCAAACTATTTTCTGTGTCCATTGGTTGATCTCTTTCCAACCCCACCCCCATTCCTCTGAGGTTTATCAGTCTGTTCCCTACTTCATGTCTCTGGATCTGTTTTGATTGACAGATTATTTTGTTCATGATATTTCATAAATAAATGAGATCATGTGGTACTTAATAGGTTTTATCTTGCCTTGTAAATATAACTGGTAGTGGTTTCCTCGAGCAAAGTATTAATGGATTCGGACACTGTATTTGGGTTCACTGAGAATTCTGTGATTGATTAGCACTGTTCACTTAGTACGAGACCTGATTGTATCAACAAATGCGTAGCTTATCATGGATCAGGTTTGGGTAGAGCCATCCACACTCCAGAAAAGGTGTTCCTTTGACTGACTGGGCCATGGGAGGAGAGGGAGGCAGAGATCAGGAAGTGATTATATCATAAGCAGTAAAGCAGTGCTTTCCAAATCCGTTGATATCGAGAAACTAGTTCTCAATTTAGAGGAGGTCCACAACCTCTTATCCACCACGCCTGAAATCCACAATGATTTCATAGAACTCATTTGGTGGCAAACCTAACCTTAATTCAAGTTGAGGCTTTTTATAGTTTTTATTTATCCTAATTTATGTTAATATTTATATATTTAGTTGCAGAAATATTAATGTGTTAGATGATGGGGTGCTGCCCACTGGGACTGTAACATGTACAGCTTATGCACGGTATTATCTATCTAAAATTTTAATTCGAAATTCCAAAATATGTGTAACTCCAAATGTTTTAAGTAAGAGAGATTGTGAACCTGTATTAGGTGTTCTGTACCTTCAATAAAATCGTGAACATATAAAGATAATATAATAAAATTCCAAAAACAAAAATACATAGCTTATAAAAATGATATATTTTCAAGAAGCAATATAGCATAGTGGTTAAGAGCATGGGCATTAAAACTAGACTACCTGGGCTCAAATCCTGGAGTTAACATAATTGCTAATCATGTGACATTAGCAAAGTTATGTGCGCTCTATTCTCCAGTTTACCCAACTGAAATATAGGGCTAATAACTACTACTTCATAGATAATATCAGGATTAAGTAATATCAAAAGCATTAGAATAATACTTAGCACATAAGTAAGTACTTGGTAAATGGTGGTGGTAGGTTACACATTCTACCATATTAATAGATTCATTAAAATAAATTAAGTCAAACTTACTTTTCTGAAGAGAAATTCCATAGTCATGATGAAATTCTATTTTTTTTAACAGGAAACTGATGACTTTAGATATTTTGATCCCAAAATGCTACGGGGCAATGACAGGTAAGCAGCTCTTGTGTATTTGTTGTAGGTTTTCCCACCCCTGCCAAGGATGGAAATAACGTAATTATTTTTGTTATAAATTAATAACTGCTTAATATTAAAATTGCAAACTGGTAAGTAAACAGTAGGTATAATCTCATTACCCGAAGATGATCAATGGTAATTACACTTAAAAGGCTTTGGTGCTTTTCCTTCCAAGATATACACACATAAAAAGATGTTTTGTTTTTAGTGAAGTGATGTCGGTATTACAGCTGTGGGTGAAAGAGGGAACTTGGATAATATGTGTTTTTAAATAAATATTCTTACTGGAAAAATGAAAAAATTTGGCTTTATGTTAGATACCAGTTGTTTTGGGGTTTTTTTATTGAACTGGTCCATATAATCTAAGTCTCTATGGATTGCTGTAAATACTTTTTTGTGGCAATGAAACATTCTACAGATAAGTCTACATTTTATGACAAAAATGGTGTGGTAAGGTATTTGTTTACTTTATTATGGATATTATTTTTCAAGATTTAATTCATGCTGGTATGAAAAATAGCCTACGAGATTCAGAGAAAGAATAGGTGGATTTAGGAGGGAGAGAAACCGTGGAATCATTGTCTTGAGCACGAGAACTTGGGTGAATCTGTTTTCTTGCTTATACCTTATGTTTGGGATCTTTAGAACTTTGTCTTTGCTTTACCCCAAGCCTTCACATCTTTGTAGGTAGTCAGGGTAGATAGTTGATTATTTGATTGTTTTGGTAATTTAAAAAGTTATTCTCATTTCTGAAGTTATCACAAATACTACCAGTTGCAGAAGAGGCTGCTGACAGGAATGTTTTTGCAGAGAATAAATTATAGAAGAGAGGGAATGAAGAGTGGAACGAGTGGGCCTGGGCTGCTTCTGGGGGTGATGGTTTTACACCTCTCCCTATCTTGATATTCTCCAGATTACATTTTTTTCCTTCCCTGTGTTTATATATGCTAACAAGTAAATATATTTTTCTTCTTAGAAACTTACTGAGAAACTCTTATCATATACACAGACAAGTCAGATGAAACTGAGGAGGAATATTGGCATTGATGAGACAGGAGCTTGGGCTTTCACTTTTAATAAATTCATCCTTCTCTGGGCAGTCTCATCACAATTAGATCTCAGTTACGAGTAACTAGTAATGCTGTGCTGTCAGGTCTCACCTTTTCATTCCGTGTCTGCTCTTAGAGAAACGTAAAACACTTCAGAAGGAAGTGAAATGTTGATGAGGTTCCAATCAGGTGGGCTTCTGGTCCTTTCTGTGGACTATTCAGCTGGGCCATAGAAATGAGGAAAAGATGAGAGCTGTGGAATCAGCCTCTGAAGAACTGAGAGAAGTTATAATAGGTCTCTTCTCTTAGCTGGGATTTTCAAAAATTGCTTCTGAGGAAAAACTAAATTGTCTTTGTGCAGCCTAGCTTAGCACTCAGAACAAATCTAGCTCACAAAAGCTTTTAAAAGTGTCTTTATTGAAAGACTTCTTGGACACCAAGGAAGTATTTTTAAAATATGTTTAAAAACATAAATATGTAATTTATTTGTAACATAAGCTACAGCAAAATGCAGATCCCTCTTCCCTTCCCCAAATTGTTGTCATCCTTCCCATACATGTGTTTACGTCGTTTTTCCACAAATGTAGATATCTACACTGTAATATTATGTTGAGTATGGTAAAAAATTTTACATAATTTACCACTAAAATATATACTTTATCAACTCACCTTATGCCCAGATTTCCACTCCTTATAGGAGCTGCTGCTCAGCCGTCCCTTTTCCCGCTGTCTTCTCTTAGGATTTTATTTTAGAGTCAACAGGTTGAGACATGTACCTCTTCTGCATGCTTCCTCTGCATCTCAATTCATTACCTGGCTACACAAAACTAAAGGACCCACCCTCCAAGAAGGTGAAGGAGGAAGAATTGTAAATATCTATACTAATTGTGTGTGTTTCCCATGCCTATTTTTATCCATCAGAAAAGCCTTGGGTGAAATTTTCAGTTTGGTTTTTCTTTGTTACAGCTCAGTTCCAAGGAACAAAAATCCATTCCAAGAGGTAAGTTCCATGTAAAAGTAATCTGCCCCTGAAAAGGAAAGATTGAAAAGGTGACCAAGCAGTCAAGAATATCTTTGTCCTAAACGTGGTTTGGTCTGACGACTGTTTGGCAGTCTTGATAAATCCAGTTCTGTGCACCCAAGATTCTTTTTTTAAAAATTCTTAGTAACTATATTTTTCTGATTTATAAAGCTGCTTTTACACTGAGAATCATTTAAATTTAAAATAGCTGACAGAATTAAGTAATTCTCAGAAAAAAGTTTTTAGGAAAGTTTTGTGAAGATATGACTGTTTGCATTTGAAATGTAAAGAACATATGGGGTTGGGAAAAAGTAGGTTTACAGTTGTGAATATGCAAAACAGTTTATTCTTGTATTACTTTCCATACAGACAACTGTTTGTAAACCTACTTTTGCCCCATCCTGTCTATTGGAAATTACATAGATGCTACATTTTTGTTTTTTCTATCTATAATAAATAATCTCAAATTCAAAAATGCCATTGGAGAAAGCCCTCTGGATTTATTTGCTATTACTTCTGTGAAGAGTGAGGTTTATTTTCCTCTAAATTGTTTCTGAAAAACCTCTACCTCATTTACTACTCAGTAGACATTTAGAAACAAATTTCTTTATAATTGAAGTAACATCAGACATGTAGGATATGACCTTTGCTAGCTAGTATTTTGTTTACCTAAGATATGGAATATGTTCCTGCTAGAAAACCAAGAGGTTTGAAAGTTAAAATACTGTTTTAACTTAACCTATTTTGTTTGTTTGCATTTTCAGGCAATTGTTTTTGTGGTGGGAGGAGGCAACTACATTGAATATCAAAATCTTGTGGACTACATAAAGGTACATGTTGGCCTTTTCATTCTTCTATCATTTGATGTTTCAGAGTTGTCTGTCCTTAGAATAATACTAGCATTCTCTAGGGGGCTCTCCTGATTCTTACATAACCCCTTTTCTAGAGGTAGTTTAAAATCCTGCACTCAGGGGTAAATGCCCATATGTTCATTGTCTTTTTATTCCTATCACATTCATTTCTGGCCTAAAATTGAACTTGAGGTAGAAAATAGTCTGTCTTTTTTTATGTAATGTACTTTGCAGCTATCTAGCTATCAGTTTGACCTCAAATGTTTAGAGCCCTCAGGCAACCCCTCTTCCAGAAGAGTCTCCCTGGCTGAAATGATTGAGCAAACACATTTACCTGAATCATAAGCACTTTTCTCCCATCCTGTTGACAAATCAGCAACATACTTCTAACAAATTTAGAATGTTTGCTTTTTCAGCAAACAAGAGCTTTGGTGGTTGCAAATTAGCAGCAGAGTACTGTTCAGAGCTGACAGCAGCAGGGAGTAGACAACTGAGCAGAAGGATATGAGGGAAAGGGTGTGACTTGAACTAAATAAGTTAAATGCAGGGACGATGGAATTAGTGATTGTTAGAATGACATTTTGGAATCTTCCTTTATTTAGTTAACATTAAATAATGATCATTCCTTACATCCTGTGTTATATAAGGCTTTAATAAAGGTAGAGATTTTGGTATATCAGGAGCAAAAAAGCAAAAAAAGCATAGGCGGAAACCACAAAGCTTTAAACTACCGGCACAACTGCTGGGATCCTATTTCAGTTGCACAGGACACACTTCATCTTCAGAATGTAAACCACCACGATCTGTGTCAGATACCTCGGTCTCAGTGGGGCATCATCTTATACAAGAAGAGGTCTTTCATAGCCTCTGTGGCCATAGAGCCAGCATAAAAAAGCAGAAACCAAGAGAACATAACAGAAATCAGGTGCAAACTGTACAATGTCTATAAGCATTGCTGACAGGCCGGTGCAGGCTTTCTCCTGGTCTACCCATGACCCTTGCACAGGACAGAAGTAACCACTAGGTGGTCTATTTCATTCAGGTTGACCAAGGGCCAGCCACATGAGTGGTTCCAAGTGTTCCCGCAGATAAACACAGGGCTGCCACAGACCAGCTAAATGAATCCTATACTTACACATTTCCCACACCCTCATTCTTGGTTAATCTTTCTTAATTACACTTGTCAGCTTTCATCTTTCAGCATTTTTTTTTTTTTACAATTATAGAATAGAAAAAAAAAAACAAGATAAATACCAAAATACTAATCATTTGTGTAGTGTAGTGCCTGAAGGTATAAACTGTAAGGAAACATTACAGTTTACCAAACACATTCCAGTACATACATTGACTGGTCAGGCATATAGCAGCTATTTTAATGTCCCTGTATCCAGGCACCTTTCTAAACAGATCACCACTTAGGTTTACAGAAATTGTACCCAGTGGTCTTTGGCTCTGTTTTTGAGCAACGGGATCCTAAAATGAGACTCTATAAAATAAAAAGAAACATTACCCCCTAGATATTTTTAGCATCATCAGGATGTATTACATGAATGACGGCAGAGCAAATCTTCCTTAAACTTCCCAGGACCTATCGAAATGAAGCAATTTCTGCAGGTCTTAAGGGTATCTGTAAATATAGCTAAAGAGTATTATTCTCTCGCTTTTAGCATCTTACGAGGTACCAAGATAATGTTAGCTTTCCCTTTCTGAGAGTCAAGACTTCTCCTTCTTTACATTTGTCATTAATTTTTACCCAGAACTTGGCCCCTGGTTTAGAAGACCATCAGATTCAGCAACACAGTTGATTTTAGGGCTGGCAGCCCTGTGAGACTGGCCAGTGCTTTTCCTTTCCCCATTCCTATGAAGAAAGTAGGAGCAAATAGAACTGTCTTGTCCACTGGTTAGGAAGGGTGCCGAAACCATTAATCCTAGTTAAGACAGGTGAAAAGAAACAGTCGATTCCATCATTCCTCAGACAGATTTAGAGATACTGTCTTGGTGTCTAGTTTGCAGTTCATCCTTTCCTCAGAACTTGTAAATATAATGTGTCCCTATAATACTGGGTCAAGCAAAGCAGAAGAAAAATTTTTAGAAATGCAGAAGAAATTTTTGTTCATTCCTGTGTTATTATCCCACTGCCTTATTTTTCCTGCACTATCTGAATACTCTATTCATCATTGACTCCTCTGTTTAATTACATGCCTATTATGCTTTAACATACATCCCATCATGCAAACCTTTCTTTCTGTCTCTTATTAGTAAGAAAGGTGCTCAGTTTTCAGTCAGCCCACTGCTTTGTGTTTGGTAAGGTGTGACAGGCCCATCTGTTTGCTTCAGTCACCAAGTGTACAAATCCACATGTATAAAAACTGTTGCTGTCCACCTAGAACCATAGGTAATAGGCCAGTATAGTTTTGTGTGAATGCTTTCATTTTCTTAGGTACATACTGTATACCTAGGAGTAGAGTTGCTGGGTAGTTGTAACCTTGCTTAACCAATTGAGGAACTGTCAGACCATTTTCTAAAGTGACTACACCATTTACATTCCTACCAGCAGTGTTGAAGGTTCTGATTCTCCACATCACAACCAATGCTTGATGCCTGACTTTTGTATTCTGGATATGAAGTGGTATCTCACTGTGGATTTGATTTACGCTTCCCTGCTGACTTCTGATGTCAAGCATCTTTTCATGTACTTATTGGCCATTTAGATATCTTTTTTGGAGAAATGTCTATTCAGATCCCTTGCTCATTTTGTTAATTGGGTAATTTTTTTTATTATTGAGTTCTTTATATAATGTAGATACATGTCCCTTATCAGATATGATTTGCAAATAATTTCTCCCAGTCTTGTGGTTTGTCTTTTAACTTTCTAAATGATGTTTTTTTTCCTTATTTTTTCTTTTGTTTGTTGTCTGTTTTTGCTCTTATATTTAGGTGTTAGATCCATTTTGAATTAATTGTTTTGTATTCTATGAAGTATGGTTCACTCTTTAGTATATGGCTATCCGGGATGTCCCAGGATAAATATCCCCATTTATTGAAAAGACTCATTTTTTTTTTCTCTATTGAATGGTGTTGGCAGCCTTGTTGAAAATCAGTTGACCATACATGTATGGGTTTATTTCTGGACTCTCACTTCTTTGGATCCATAGGTCTATCCTTGAGCCAGTACTACATTGTTTTCATTACCATTGTTCTGTAGTAAGTTTTGAAATCAGGACATGAGCATCCTCTTACTTGATCCCTCTTTTTCAAGATTATTTTGGATTTCTGGGTCCTTTGCAATTCCATGTGACTGTCAATGTCAGTTAGGATTCTGAGGGATGGCAGTGAATCTGTTAAATGAAAATACTCTCAAAAACTGATCTACAATGTTAAGTCTTCTGATCGATGACATGTTTTTTCATTTATTTAGATATTCTTTCGACAATTTTTTGTTTTCAGAGTCTAAGCTGTGTACTTTCATTAAATGTATTCCTATGTACTTATGCTATTGGGAATGGAACTGCTTTCTTAATTATATTTGGTTTGTTCATTTCAGGTGTATAGAAATACAATTATTATTATTTTTATTTTTTTTGTATATTCATCCTGTAATCCTACTCAACTTATGTATTAGTGTTAATGGGTTTTTTTGGGTGGATAACATGTACAAGATCATATTATCTGTGAATAGAGTTGATATTTTTCTTCTTTTTCTTGCCTAACCACCTTGACTAAATATTCAATAGAAGAGTCCAGAGCAGACCTTCTTATATTTTTCCTGATTTTAGGGGCAAAGTATTCAGTCTTTCGCCATCAAGTATGATGTTAGCTATAGGTTTTTCATAGTGCCATTAAATTGTTAGTATCTACTAAGCCACCAGTTTAATTATCCTGAGAGTTCTTTTTTTCAATCCCCTTGCCTCTTACTGTTTCCTTTATTGTGAACCATCCTAATCCTTTTTCTAGCCCCATTCCAGAGAAACTGGGCTAGTAGGTCTACAACAGCCTCCCCTATAAGAAACCAATGTCCGTACAACCCTGTCATATGAAACAAATCTTATGAGAATGCCTACAAGAGACTTATAATCAAGAATCATGTAGCATGGCCTGGAAAACAAGTTCCAGAGGGGAAGGGAGAGAGAGAGGGAAACATCAGTTAGCCCCCAACCTGGGCATGTGCCCCGACCAGGAATCGAACCAGCGACCTCTTGGTGCATGGGTCAATGCTCAACCACTGAGCCACAGAGGCCGGGCGCTAGTCTAAGTCTTAATGTAACTGCTATTTGGTATAGCACTGCTGTGTTTGATTTTAACAAAAAATTTGAGTAGACTAATGAGACAAGGATACCCCTTTAATCAACATAGCATTGGAAGTCCTAGACAGCAGTTAGGCAAAAAAAATAGAAGGCATCCTAATTGGAAAGAAAGAAGTAAAGCTGTCACTGTTTGCAGATCACACATTATACAGTTGACCCTTGAACAACACGGGAGTTTGGGGAACCCATACATTCAAAAATCTGCATGTAAATTTTAAGTACCCCTTGTACTAGGACCCCCCACAGATGCCAAAGTCCTCTACATAAAATGTTGTATATCATTAAATTCATTCAGCTCTTCACATTCACAGACTCTCAACAACAGATCAAACACACAATACAAGTATATATTGAAAAAAAAATCCAAATATAAGTGGACCTGTGCAGTTCAAGGGTTGGCTGTATATAGAAAACCCTAAAGACTGTTAGAATTTAATAACAGAATTCAGTAAAGTTGCAGAATACAAAAATCAGTTCATAAAAAAAGTCTGTTGCATTTTTAGACACTAATAATGAACTATCAGTAAGAGAAATAAAACAATTGCATTTACAATTGCATCAAAAAGGAAATAACAAAAGACCTATATGTTGAAAACTACAAGAAATTGAAGAAGACATAAATAAAGGGAAATATATTCTGTGCTCATGATTTGAAAGAATCAATATTGGTAGAATATCATTACTACCCAAATCTACAGATCCAATGCAATTTGTATCTAAATTTGAATGTTATTTTTCAAAGTAATAGAATAATCCTAAAATTTGTATAAAACCACCAAAAAAAGCCCAAATAGCCAAAGCAATCTTGAGAAAGAAGACCAAACCTAGAAAATCATGCTTCCTGATTTCAAACCACATTATAAGGCTATAATAATTAAAATGATATTGGTATAGACACACAGAGAGCCCAGAAATACCTGTGTGGTCAATTAATTTGCAGCCAAGAATATACAAAGGGGAAAGGACACTCTCTTCAGTAAATAATGTTAGGAAAACTGGACAGCCACATGCAAAAGAATGCAACTGGACCCACTATATTACACCATACACAAATATTAATTCAAATTGAATAAAAGACATAAACAAAATCTGAAACCATAAAACTCCTAGAAGAAAACATGGGGAGTAAGCTCCTTGACATAAATTTTGGTGATGCTTTTTAAAAATTTTACACCAAAAGCAAAAATAAATAAGTGGGACTACATTATACTAAAAAGCTTTTGCATCAACAAAATGAGTGGGAGAAAATATTTGCAAATTATGATAAGGGGCTAAGATTCAAAATATATGAAGAACTCATAAAATAAAATAAAACAATTTAATTAAAAAGTGGGAAGAAGATCATCCTGGCCGGTAGGTTCAGCTGGTTGGTGTGTAATCCCATGCACCAAAAGGTTTCAAGTTTGATTCCCAGTCAGAGCACATACCTAGGTTGCAGGGCAGATCTGAATAGACATTTTTCCAGAGAAGACATACAGATGGCCAAGAGGCACATGGAAAGAGGCTCAACATCATTAATCACTAGGGAAATGCAAGTTAAAACCACAGTTTGGCCCTGTTTGGCTCAGCTGTTAGAGTGTCGGCTCACTGACAGGAGGGTCTCAAGTTCGGTTCCCAGTCAAGGGCATGTACCTGAGTTGCAGATTCAGTCCTCAGCCCCAGTCAGGATTTTGTGGGAGGCAACCAATGTTTGTTTCACTCTTTCCTCTCCCTCCTTCCCTTCCATTCTACCTAAAAATCAATGGAAAAATATCTCGAATAAGGACTAACAACAAAAAACCCACAATTAGGAATCACCTCACCTATTTAGAATGGCTGTTATCAAAAAGACAAGAAAATAGCAAATATTAGCAAGAAGAGGTAACTCTTGTACACCATTGATGGGAATGTAAATTAGTGCAGTCACAATGGAAAACTGTATGGAGTTTCTCAAAAAATTTTAACTACCATATGAACCAGTAATTCCACTTCTGGGTATTTATCCGAAGAAAAACACTAACACAAAAAGTTATCTTCATCCCCATGTTTCTTTCAGCATTATTTACAGTAGCCAGGATATGGAAACAACCTAAGTGCCCATCAGTGGGTGAATGGATAAAGGAATTTGGTCAATCCTGAATGAAGCGTACTAACTAGTTATTTATTTTGTCCAAGATAGACCAGGAGTCAACTTGCACTAGCTTGTCCGCATTGTTTAATAGAAAATGTCAAGATTAAGGGTTTGCACCCTGGTTTCTGTCATTTTTTCTTGTTTCTGCTGTTGAGCCTGGTCATGATTTTGACCATGTGGTCAGAGAGGTATAAAAGACCTCTCTTTGGGCAACACTGGCGCTCCCCTGCCATCAAGGTATCTCCACTGTGTCTTAGTGGTTCACAGTTAAAAGTAAACTGTGTCCTGTGCATGAGATGGTATCCTGGGAGCTGTGCCCAGAAGTTATGGACCCCTCTGATGTTTCCCTCTGCTTTCTTTATCCTTCTGTGCTGTGCCTCTATCTTTATTAATGTCTTTCATAAGTATTGCCTGTGTAGCCTCAAGAATCCCAATTTTATGACGCTGTGTAATTGTGGCACGTATCATCTCATTTTTTATAAATTGAGTGAGGTGTGATGTTATTTGTCCTCGGAGATGGCCAGCTCTAGGACATTTATTGAGCCAATGATGTTTGTTCTACTTATACATTACAGAGAAATGTCCTTCTCTTGGGTTACAACGCCATAGTTCTTTTGTTCCTCAGTGAATTATATTTTGATGTGTTACAGAACAAACTTTTTACAAGAGAAATTTTATGAATTTACCTTCAAATTCCCAATACATATAAGAATTTTAGCATTAAGGACTTACCAAAATTCTTAGAAAAGTTTGACTCTTGTAATTGGGTTCCAACATTCTGTCAAAATTAGGAATGAAATTCACTGTTACAAAATGGAACGGGGTATAGTAACACGTAAGTTCTGTATGACATAAATGAGACTCAAATGACAGTCCATGCCACTGCACCATCTCCTGCTTTCCACCTTACAAAAATCTAAGAATGTTGGCCTGATTTTATGGGTATTATAGGAAATGTAGCAGTCATCAGATTCTTTATATTTCCAGTAGAAAAGGTACCAGTAGTATGTACAATAATGCATATTTAAAAATACTATGCCACTTCACCACTTTATTCCATGCAATTTTAGGATACAACCCAACACCCCCCCACACCTCCACCCACAAAAGAATATTTAAGAATAACAAAAAGTGTTCTTGGCTTTAATCCCTCTTCTTGGGAATACTTGTATCTGATTTTTGTTTCTGATTTTTACAGGGGAAACAAGGCAAACACATTTTATATGGCTGCAGTGAACTTTTTAATGCTACACAGTTCATAAAACAGGTAAAGTATATACCTTTTTATTTTATTTTATTTTTATTTTTTTTATTTTTTTTGTCCTCACCCGAGGATATTTTTCCATTTTTTGTACAGATAGAGTGGGAGGGAGAGAGAGGAAGGGAGAGAGAGAGAGAGAGAGAGAGAGAGAGAGAGAGAGAGAGAGAGAGAGAGAAACATCGACGTGAAGTGACACATCGAGTGGCTGCCACCCGCACGACCAACCAGGGCCGGGGACAAACTGCAACCGAAGTATGTGCCCTTAGCGGGAACCAAACCCGGGTCTCTCCGGACCGCAGGCCGACGCTCTAACTGCTGAGCCAAACTGGCCAGGGCTAAAGTATATACCTTTTTAGTTTGTTACTATTAACATACCCTAAGTTGCTGTTGGTATTTTTCAAAAGAACAGGAGAATAATTATATTCATCTGAACCAGCTGAAACTATAGAGCTATAAGAATGTAAGGTTTGGACAACTATAAAGAAAAGTCACATTATTTCCAGTATCCCAAAAGGTAAATTCAGAAAATTTAAAATTCTAGTAGTGTACTCAATTATGAAAAATTGAATTCAGCACTTCCTATATACTGTCCACATTTCTGACTCTACAGAGCATATCACAAATTGGGCTAAAAAATATTTTCTTGGGCTGTTACTACCAAGTGTGCTCAGGTGATGCAATGGAGTTACTACCTTCACCGTGGAAGTTAATGACAGTCGTAGCTGAGGTGCACGAGGTCCTTACATTGTTTTAGTATCGTTCCCTCTAACGTTTTCTATAATTATATTAACTTTAGGTCTTTTAAGCTTGAACTACCTGAGTTGCTTAGTAGACTGGCCAATAATGTTCACTCAGCTTTGCCTTGACTGCCACAAAAATAGTACCTATATCCGGTACTTGTTTTTAGCACCTGTTCTTAGTATCATTTTCTAGCAGCAACTTTCTTACCCCATTATGTAGTTCTTATATTTTTAACCTCAATATAGTGGCCCAGTGTTATGAGAATTTCAAATATACAGAAAAGTTGAAGAGTATTTGCAGTAAGCACATATACACTCCCCATTAACAGTTTGCTGTACTTTATAAGATACCTACCCCCCATCCATTGTTCATTCTATTCATCACTCCAACTTACTTTATTAATTTTAAAGTAAAGTGTAGATATCAGTATACTTCCCCCTTAATACATCTGTGTCAATACCATTCCCTCCAGTTCATTGTTTGTACAGGTTTTTTTTTTAAGCCTTTGGAGGTAAAATTTAGAGCAGTGAAATACACAGATCTTGTGTTTTATCAGGTATGTTCACCCGAGTAACCCAAACCCCTAACAAGATACAGAACCATAATACCACCAAGTTCCTTTATGGCCGTTCCCATCCAGTCCTTGCCCCACACTGTCTTGATAGCTTTCTACTGTGGATTAGTTTTGCCTATTCCAAAACATCATGTAAACAGAATATTTTTGCTTGGTTGGGTTAACTAGAGGAGCCTCAATTTTATTAATATTTTCTGATGAACCAGATATTTATGCTCATTTTCTCTTATTTGTTTTCTAGTCATTGGCTTCAACTCTTTATTATTATTTTCTTTGTTTTGATTACTTTGTTCTTTTCTAGCTTCTGAAGTTGGAATATTAAGTCAACAACTTTAGTTTTTCTTTTCTAAGATAAACATTTAAAAAGCTATAAAATTAAAATTTTGCCTAATGCCACTTTAGCTGTATTCCACAAATGTTGATATATTTTCATAACCATTGTTTGAAATAATTTTAATTTACCTGGTGTTTATTTATATTTATTATTTATATTTTCGTCTAGTTCTATCAGGTACTGAAAGACTTATTAAAATCTCCAACTGTAATTGTAGAATTCTCTCTCTTTAGTTCTGTCAGTTTCCATTTTTGGTGCTTTTAGATCTGTTATTAGGTACACACACACATATGTGATTGTTGTATCTTCCTAACAAATAGACCCTTTTGTTATTATGCAGTATCTTCAACACATCTGATAATCCTTTGTCTTGAAGTCCACTTTATCTGATATTAACGTAGCTACTCTTGCTTTCTCATGCCTACGGTTTACTTTATAACTTTTCCCTCTTTTTACTTTCAACTTGTCTATGAATTTATATTTAAAATGTATATCTTATAGGTAGCAATATAGTTGGATCTTTTGGGGGGTTTTCCTTTAGAACCATTTTGACAGTCTGCCTTTTTTTATTATTAATTTATTTTTGTTACAGATGTTTCTCCTTTTTCCCATTGACACCCTCCTTCTGAGCACCCCCCCCCCCAGCATTGTTGTGTATGTCCATTGGTTGTGCATACATGCATATAAGTTCTTTGGTTTATCTCTTCCCTCCCCCTTGCCCACCTCCTCTGAGGTTTGTCAGTCTGAACCCTACTTCTATGTCTCTGGGTCTATTTTCTTCATTATATTCCACAAATAAGTGATATCATGTGAAACTTGTCTTTTCTCTGACCGGCTTATTTCACTTAGCATTATACTCTCCAGGTCCCTCCATATAGTCTCAAAGGATAAGAGATCTTTTTCTTACAGCTACATAGTATTCCATTGTGTCTATGTACCACAGCTTTTTTATTCACTCATCTATTAATGGACACTTAGGCTGTTTCCAGATCTTAGCGATTGTAAATAGTGCTGCTGTGAACATAGGGGTACATATATTCTTTCGGATTGGTGTTTCAAACGTTTTAGGATGTAGTCTTAGAAATAGGATCACTGGGTCAAATGGGAGATCAATTTTTTTATTTTCTGAGGAAACACCATATTGTTTTCCATAGTGGCTGCACCAGTCTGTTGATATCTAATTATTTCTTTACATGATTGGATTTACAGCTACCATTTTACTGTTTGCTTTCTATTAGCCTTCTGTTCTTCTTTCCCTGCCTTACTTTGTATTGTTAGAACACTTTTTAGAATTCCATTTTAATTCACCCACTAATTTTTTTTTTAGCTATATCTCTACAAGATTAATTTAGTGGTTGCTGTGGATATCATCATGCAAAAATCTTACAACCATATAGACCTATTTTCCCAGCATTTATGCTGTGATTGTCATATATCTACCTATTAACATCGTAAGACAGTGTTATCATTTGTGCTTCAGATATAAACAAATCTGTTGCATTCACACAGATATGATTTCCAATGCTCTTCATCCCTTAGAATAATTATAATTTTTATGTGTTGTCTGAAAAACTTTTTCTAGTACTCAGTGTAGCTCAGATATCCTATCAGAGAGTTCTCTTAATTTTCTTTTATTGATTTGAGAGAGAGAGAACATGGATCTGCCACTGCCTGCATGCCCCCCACTGGGCTCAACCACTGAGCCACACCAGCTGGACGTCTTAATTTGCTATGAAAATGTCCTTTTTTCAACTTTATTCTTCAATGATATTTTTGTTGGACATAGAATTCTTGATTGAGTTACTCAACACTTTAAAGATTATTTCATAATCTGCGTTTCTGATAGGAAGTCAGCAGTCATTCAGATTGATGTACTTTCATATGTAATTTTTTCATTATCTTTGGTTTTTAGCAATTTAATCATGATGTATCTTGTTTCAGGATCACTGAATTTTTTAAACCTATAAATGTATACATTCACCAAATTTAGGGGATTTTTCAGCTGTCAGTTCTTCAAATATTTTTATGCCCAATTTTCTCTCCTCTCCTTTTGGGACTCCATCTACATATATGTTCAACTTTTTCATTGTCTCACAGATCCCTGAGGACTGTTCATTAGAGGGTACAGTTTAAGTTGCCCCCATTCTACTGTTTGAATAATGTTGTATTTACCAGTTCTAAGAATTTTTGTTTGGGTTTTTTTAATACAGTTTTTATTTCTCTGCTAAGATGTAGTATATTTTCTGTAATTTCATTGAGGATAGTTGTCGTACCTGCTTTTAAAACCATATTAATTACAGCACATGGATCATCTTGCTGTCATTCTTCATTGTCTTTCCCCCTAAAGAAGGGGTTGCATTTTCCTGTTTCTTCAGATATTGACTAATTTTAGATTGTGTCCTTAATATTGTGATTTTGTTTTGGAGACTAAACTGTTTCTCTAAAGAGTGTTGATTTGTGGTTTTAGCAGGCAATTAACTTGGTTAGACTCAGATTTCAAACTTGATGTCTAGGGCAGCAGTTCAGATCTCACTTCTTAGTCTCTTTCATTCACAAGTGACTCAGGGTTTACCACAGATTTAGGGGAAAAGTCTACACACAGAGTTTAGGACTCCCTCACACTGGCTCTCTCCTTTCCAGCATTTCCCCTCACTTTCCAGTGCCCCCAGACTCCTCTGGTCCTTCAGGCCAGAAAGACTGCAGTTGTTCTGTCGGTGTTAGCTGTCAGTGTGGCACCAGCTGTGGCCTTCCTTCAGGCTGGGGTTCACGGGAGCAGGGACCTCGGCCAGTGCTTCCCTCGCGCCTGCTTTCAGTTCTCCATCGCCTTCGGGAGTGGGTTTTGTATCCCTGAGAGAATTCATCCACAAGACATAACCCAGCCTTCCCGAATCCTTTTAATGACCTCTAAGAAATATAAAATTAACTAAAATATATGGAGAAGTGATCTGGCAGCAGTGACGTCCCACATGACGTTTTTTCATTCTCAGGGCTTTTGTTTTCCATTGGTTGAATTTGCATCTATATTTTCCACATTTTTTGCCCTGAGAGTTTATTGCTGATTAAGATTTGAAGGTATTTTAAAGGTATTTTAAAACTAAACATTTGAGTTAATGGTGAAAATGTTCTATTCTAGAAATGAAGTTAATGGAATAGGAACTCTAATTTTTACCATGATGAAAGTGTGCATTTTTAAGGTATTAAAAAATGTTTGAATGCATATGTCTTTTGTGATTAATAAAAAGTTATATTTATGATCTTATTTGTTTTAGCTGTCACAACTTGGACAGAAATAGCACAGAAGAACCTTACTATGAGACTCGACTTGGATAGATGTAAAAAGAAAAGTCAAAGAGCCAGCTGCTTCCTTCTCTGTATCAGTGTCCTAACAGTGAAACTTAAGAGTTGTTTATTTTTAAGGAAATCCTATACTTAATATAATGTGTACTGATTAAAAGAATAAAGCATTTCAGAAATAAATTTTTAACATTGTACATTCTCTCTCCTTTTATGCTTCCCCAGTGAGAGAGTACTTGGAAGGAAAGAAAGCTCTGAGTATAATGTTGGAATAGTAATATCGTAACAAATGTTATTGAAGCTAGTAAAAGTTTAAGAATATAAGGATGTTACTTTATTGGTTCATGACTCTCCTTCTTGCATGCATTTGAATTATAAAATCACCATCCTGTGATTTTTGGTTTCTCATGTTGCCTTTAGATTTTAATGCCACTTTAATGTCTCTTCTTCCTTCTAGCACACCTATGTACTCTGTATCACATAAAATCCCTCCTTTATACAATGGCAGCAGTCAAACACTAGCAACATCTAGAATGAACATATATAAAACATTTATACTATGGAGTTCTAAATCATACATAAGTCAGTGTTAAATTTGGTTCCAGCATTCTTGGTATATCATGTAACTCAAGGCAGCCGTAACATTAAAAGCAAGCCAGTTGCTCGGGGGGGGGGGGGGGGGGGGGGGGGGATTCTTTTATACAGTCCAGGGAGCTTTTCCTCCTAATAAGCCTCATCAAGAGGAATCTGTAATTTACAGACAACATCCTAATAATAAATACAAGATTCACAGGACTGCTTCTGCACCCGAAGCCCCATGAGTCAGTGTCATCATACCAAACCACAGGTCAAGAAAAGTAATTTATTGGGTAGTGGCCTGCTAATCTTAGTTCTCAGTTATATTTTAAAGATTTTTTTTTCTTTATTGATTTTGGGAGAGAGATAGAAACATCAATGAGTGAGAACATCGACTGGCCACGTCCTACATGTCCCCCACAACCTGTCAGCCTGCCTCACCTTGCACTTCATGCGGACTTTACTAAAATTGTTCAAAAGTCCACAAACCTCAACAAGCAGCAGTACCCTGTGCTTCACTGCTCCAGGCCTAGCACATGTGGTGACTAGTTTCAACTTGCATTATAACATCCATCAGGTATAAGCAGCGGCCAGTCTTGGCTCGGAAGGTAGCCTCAACTAAGTGGACACAAACCTGGCCCAAGTGGCAGCTGACTTCAGTGCACAGCGTGGTGCCCACCAAAGGCTCCCTAGCCTGACATTAGTGGCAGACAGCCTTTGTTTGTTAAATACCCTCTCCCAAGTTCCTCCAACCCCAGCACAGTAGCAACCAACTGCAGCTCACTTTGTAGCTCCTACCAGACAGTCCCAATCCAGCACAAGCAATAACTGACCTTGACCAGCACTGGAGCCCCTCCTAAGAAGCTCTATCTTGAGACCACAATCAGTTCCACAAATGACACACCCAAGTGGCAGACTCAGCTGGCACTAGAGCCTGACTAAAGAGACTCCTGCTCCATGGGTTCAGCCCTCTCACAACACCTTGTCCACTGTAATCACTGCCAGCCCTCACAGCCAGTCAGCCTGAGGGTCAGTCACACCCACTGATATGCCAACAGCAGTCAAGGCTCAACTACAAAAGGAGGGCACACACAGCCCACATAAAGGATACCTCTGGAGCACCCAGGTGGTCAAAGAGATTGTGCTATTGGGCCCCCAAAGACACCTACTACATAGGGCAACTCTACCAAGGCCAAGAGACATAGATCTACCTGATACATAGTAACAAACACAGGAAGTCAGCCAAAATGAGTAGACAAGTCCCAAATAAAAGAACTCCAAAAAAAAGAACTAAGTAACCATGGCTGATTTGGCTCAGTGGTTGGATTGTTGGCCTACAGTCCAGAGAGTCCCGGGTTCAGTTCCCACTAGGGCATGTACCAAACAAACAAACAAACAAAAACTAAGTGATATTGAGACAAGCAATCTACCAGGTGCAAAGTTGAAAAAATTGATTATAAAGATGCACAATGAATCTCGGGGAAGAATAGATGAGCTTTGTGAGAACCTCAACAAAGAGATGGAAAACAGAAAAATGGACATAGAAACCATAAGAAATAACTGTCAGAAATGAAGACTACAAAAACTGAAATGAATACATTACAGGGAATCAACAGCAGATTAGATGAAGCAGAGGATCAAGTCAGTGATCTTGAAGACAAAATAGCAAAAAGAAAGAATTTTAAAAATGACCTCTGCAATATATGAAGTATAACAACATTTACATCATAGCAGTAGCAGAAGGAGAAAAGAGAGCAAATGATTGAAAACCTATTTGAAGAAATAATAACTGAAAACGTCCCTAACCTGGTGAAGGAACTAGACATTCAAATTCAGGAAGTACAGAGTCCTAAACAAGATGAACCCAAAGAGGTCAACACCAAGACTCATCATAATTAAAATGCCAAAGATGAAGGAGAATCTTCGAATTAGCAAGAGAAAAGCAGTTAGCTGTGTACAAGTGAGCTCCCATAAGACAGTCAGCTGATTACTCAACAGAAACCTTGCTGGCCAGAAGAAAATGTCACAAAATAGTCAAAGGATGAAAGGCAAAGACCTACAACCAAGATTGCTCTAACCATCAAGGATAACATTTAGAATCAAAGGAGAGATAGTTTCCTAGACAAGAAAAGCCTGAAGAATTTATTCACCACTAAGCTAATGTTACAAGAAATGTTAAAGGGACTTCTTTAAGCAGAATGGATCAAAAATATGATTAAGAAAACACAGGAAAGAAAAAATTCTCACTGACAAAGCCAAACAGTAAAAACAGTGGATCAACCAACTATAAAAACTAGTACAAAGTTTATTTATTTATTTTTTTAATCCTCGCCCAAGAATATTTATTTTACCATTGATTTTCAAATAGAGTGGGAGGGAGGGAGAGAGAGAGAAAAAAACATCCATGTGAGAGAGACACATTGATTGGTTGCCTACCCCAAGACCCCAGCCAGGGCCAGGGATCAAACCACAACCAAGGTACATGCTTTGACGAATCAAACCCGCGACTCTCTGGTCTTTAGGCTGACACTCTAACCAAACCAGCCAGAGCAAAATCTAGTACAACATTTAAAAGACAAAAGTAGGAAGATCATATGTAATATGATAAATTAAGAGATACACACAAAAGTTTAATGACAAAAACAATGTGGAGGCAGTGAGTAAAAATTATAGTGTTTTTAGAACATGTTCAAGTTTAAGTGCCCATCATCTTAAAATAGACTGCTATAAACATAGCTTAGTATATACAAAGAAAATGGTAACCACAAACCAAAAATCTATGAGAGATATACAAGAAATAGAAAGGAATCTAAACATAATATAGAAAGTTATCAAACTATGAGAAGAGAGCAAGCTAATAAGAAAGGAATAGAAAATAACCACAAAAACTATCAGAAAACAATAAAATGACAATAATTACATACCTGTCAATAATTACTTTAAATGTAAATGGACTAAATGCTCCAATCAAAAGACATAGGTGGATGAAGGCATAAAAAAGCAAGACACATACATATACTGCCTACAAGAGACCCACTTCAGATTGAAAGACATACACAGACTGAAAATAAAGGGATGGAAAGAGATATTTTATGCAAATGAAACAAAAAAAGCTGGGGTAACAATATATCAGACAAAAAAAAAATATATATATATATATTTTATCCTCACCCAAGGACATTTTTCCATTTTTTATTCAGATAGAGCAGGAGGGAGAGGAAGAGAGAGAGACATTAACGTGAAAGGGACACATCAAGTGGCTGCCACCCTCACGACCCAACCAGAGCCGGGGACAAACTGCAACCGAGGTTCATGCCCTTTGCGGGAACCGAACCCGGGTCTCTCTGGACCGCAGGCCAACGCTCTAACCGCTGAGCCAAACCGGCCAGGGCTCAGACAAAATATACTTTAAAGCAAAGACTAATGAGACAATGAAGGACATTTCATAATGATAAAGGATTTGTCCGATAGAAGTATATAATTCTTGTAAACATCTACACACCCAACATAGGAGCAACAAATATATTTTAAAAAATACTGGCAGACATAAAGGGAGAGAGTCATAGTAATAAAACCCCATTGATACTAATGGATAGATCATCCAAACAGAAAAATCAACAAGGAAATAGTGGCCTTAAGTGTCACATTAGAACAGATCAATTTAGTTGATATATTTAGAACATTTCACCCAAAAGCAGAATATTCATTTTTTCTCCAGTGCATAAGGAACATCTTCCAGAACAAACCACATGTTAGACCACAAAACAAGACTCAATAAATTTAAGAAGATCCTATTAAGCATCTTCTCCAGTCACAATGGTATGATACTAGAAATCAATTACAAGAAAAAAACCTGAAAAACATACAAATATGTGGAAGCTAAATAATTGCTACTAAACAATGAACAGGTTAACAATGTGGTCAAAGAATAAATCAAAAGAACTTTGAGATAAATAAGAACAATGACCCAGAAATCTATAGGACACAGCAGTTCTAAGATGGAAATCCATAGCAACATAGGCCTATCTTAAGAAATAAGGAGAATCACAATCTAACCTTACATCTAAAGGAATGGGGGGAAGTGGACAGAAGGAAGGAAATAATAAAGATCAGAGCAGAAATGAACAAAATGGAGTCTAAAAAAATATTTTAAAAGGTCAATGAAACTAAGAGCTGGTTCTTTGAAAAGATAAAGTTGCAAACCTTTAGCCAGACTCATCAAGAAAAAGAGAGGACTCAAATGGAATAAGAAGTGAAACTGAAGTAACAACCAACACCACAGAATTATGAAGGATTACAAGAAAATACTACTACTAAAAATATGCCAACAAATTGGATAACCTGGAAGAAGCGGATAAATTTCTAGGAACATGTAATCTGCTGCATCAGGAAGAAACAGAAAATCTGAACAGGCCTATAACTACTAATAAAACTGAATCAGTAATCAAAAAATTACAGCAAACAAAAATCCTGTACCAGGTGGCTTCACAGGTGCATTTTACCAAACATTCCAAGAAGAATTGAGACCTATCCTTCCAAAACTATTCCAAAACATTGAAGAGGAGGGAAGGGGTCCAAAATTATTTTACAAGGCCAGCATCACCCTGATACCAAACCAA